ACCCCCGCCAGTCCTCTGAATGAAAATGATCAGAAGTCTGATCTCCGTTAGTGACGCATTGGGAGGTGATGATTGGTGATAACACCTTAATAACAATCACTTTTCAGTGTCTTAGGAAGACTTGGTTTTGGTTACAGAGTGCTGACTGACACCACTTTTTTCAGTCACAATGTCAGCGTTGCCTTGGACTAATTTAATCCTAAATAGGAAAAAAAATCAAATTTAAAAAAAAATCCAAGAGTTGCTATATGCATTTTAATTTAATTTAGTTTTACTTAATCTGTTATCAACCAGTATCATCATATGGCTTCAGGCTTAACCCTTTGTTGCAAGGCGTGCAGTAACAGGAATCAAGAAAAGCTGAGTGGAGGAGATTTCCTAAATTGATCTCTAAACACTTGGTTTGATAATTTGTTTTTCCTTCTAGAACTTTAAAATGGTGTAATTTATTTGTTCAGTACTAGTGACATGCTCTTTTTTAAAGTGTAAAATGACAATTTTAATCAATTAATTGCATAGTTATTTCAATCTCTTGGAATCTGAAGTTGACTAAATCCATAGTGCTGAAGTAAGTTGCTTACTATTATTTCTCAACATAGCTTACCCTCCAAGTGGGTTTTCAGAGGCTATAAAACTGCAGATGGCAGGAGTCTGCTGATCTTTTCCCCAGGGAGCAGCTGGTGGATTAGAATTGCCTGCCGTTAGGTTGGCAGCACAACTCCTCAAGCACTCCTCAATATTTATGAGGGAAACATGTCTAATTTCCCCTAAATAAAGTAGAAAAGGCTTTACCAAGAATAATATACTCTGTTGGTGCAATTAAAATATATAGGAAAAAATAAATATTGAGTGGAAACAGATTTAAATTTCATATTGTTTCTACCACTACATGCTGTCAGATTGAATTATTTTTGCAGTTATATTGGACTCCAAATGGAAGCCATGATTTAGAAGTGTGTTGTCTCAACAGAACAAGGAAACACTTCATGGCTTAACATCTAGAAAGGTGTACCTCAAGCTGCTCTATATTTTCTCTATACATATTCAGTTTGTATCTGAAGGCTGGGCTTTATGAAGGAGAATGTAGTATTGGGATCTCAGAAGACTCTATAACTTGTGTTATGCAGATGCCAGAACCTCACTCACTTGAGAGTGAGGAGGACTTCAAGCATTTGCTGAAGAAAATCAAGGACTGCAGCCTTCAATTTGAATAACATCTCAACATCAAGAAAACAACAATCCTTACCACTGGGCTGATAGGCAACATCCTGATGGAGAAAAGATTGAAATTGTCAACAATTTCATCATACTTGGATCCCTAGTCAATGCCCTTGGCCCTTGGTACCAGCAATCATCAAGAAATCAAAAGACAAATTGCAATGGGGAAATCTGCTGTCAGGGGCCTCTCCAGAGTTCTAAGGAGCAGTGGTATCAACCTGATGTAATCCCTAGTCTTTTCAGTTAACTTGCTATGTATCTGAAAGTTGGACAGTAAATAAGGATGATAGAAAAATTGATGCCTTTGAGTTATGATGCTGGAGAATAGTACTGAATATACCATGGACTGCTACAAAACAAATAAATATATCTTGGAAAAAGTGAAAATACGGTTCCGTTTAGAGGCAAGATGGTGAAACTTTGTCTCACATAATTTGGGCATGTTGTTAGGAGAGGTTTTTCCTTGGAAAGGGATATCATGCTTAGAAAGGTGGACAGTCAATGAAAGAGAAGAAGGCCCTCAAGAGGATAGACTGACATAGTGGCTGTAATAAAGAATGGCACAAGACAGGGCAGAGTCTGCTGCTCATAGGATTGCTATGGGTTGTAATTGACTTGATGGCACCTAACAACAAAAAGCATGTTGACATGGAGCTCTGGTGGTCTAGTGATAGGGATTTGCAGCTCAGATCCACTAGCTGCTGTGTTGGAGAAAGATGAGCAGTCCCCTGATCACATAACCAGATGAGATTTTATGTCAGTGAACTGTTGAATTGTTGTCATGCTGATACAGTGACTGCCAAAATGAGCTTAACCAAGGGAACTCTGGTGACCCAGTGGCAAGAAGCTGCACTGTAGTCCAGAAGGCACGCTGTTGGAATCCACCTGGTGCTCTGCTGGAGAAGGAGGGGCTGTCTCCTCCTGTGCCAGTTAGATCATTAATTTGATGATACACAACAAGAAGAAAAATTTTAAAAGTGAGCTTAACCATAGTAGAGATTGTCAGGATGGCACAGATCGGGTAAGATTTTGATCTGTTGTAAATAGGGTTGCTATGAGCTATGAGCTGACTTTTAAGCCAAACTTGATTTTCTTTTTTTTTTTAATTTGTAGTTTTCCTTTTCTCCTTTCTTGGATTTTTTTTTTAGTATGTTTTGCTTTATCTTTAACATTTTCATGGATTTGTGTAGGTGTTGAGTGATTTCTATAATGTAGTCTGTTCCCATCATTTATTTATAAAATATATGCATGCTGCCAGTGTGGAAATGCACGTTTACTTTTGAAATTGACATTGCAGATTTACTGTCAACTCAACACTAACTCACTTGAGCTTCTAATGAGTTTTCAGAGGCTGTGAGTCCCACAGGAGGAAACTGCCCATGTTTTTCCTGAGAAGGGACCCACTAATGGATTAAAACCGGCAGAGAGGCTCTGCCATACCGTTAGCAGTACAACCCCCTGCTGTCTAGGCCACCAGAACTCCTAGCATAATCTTAATGAGATGCAAAAATTCTATATAAGTTTGTTCGCGATCCCCAGCATATCTTTTTATGCATCCCGTGGGGACATTCCATTTCTGTTACTTAACTTTTCAAGCATATTTTCTACCTCTGTGTGCTTAGTTATTGTGTCTTTAATGCTCATGCACTCATTTTTTTTAACAGTATTTGTCTTTATACTGTCTTTTTTTACTGTTTTTGAACCTGCTTTTACTTTTTGGTTGCAATACCTTCAGCTATTCTCTCGCAAAAGATAGAATTTCCTGTCTCTGCCCTCTCTGGATTATAATTTTGGTTTTTATCTCATTCTTCATCTTATGAACATCTCATTTTTTTCAGGCGTTTAGTTATGTGATCATATTTAAATATGAAAGCCTAGTGATTGAAAGAGATGTGTGGTATGGGTTACCCTTGAATGAAAGGGCTGATTTGGCAGAGTATATGATGTTAGTACATGCTGTGTCAACTAACAGGCATCCCTCTAGGGCTTTAGGGAATGGCTTGGTGAAGTAAACTTGTGGAAATTGGAGAGAGCTCGCAGAGGGAGAGCAGACCCCACCACCACCACCTTAGAGCTCCTCGCTCTTACCTGGCAGATTGCTCAGACTGGGACCAGGACTTGCTGTTTTCACTATGCAAGATTAGGGTTGGGGAGCATGATCGAGATAGCCTTTTCCCAAATGCTTCAGTAAGCCTGCTGGTTTTCTTCTCTTTCCATTTTGACTTGGAAACATTTTGTCATGCTGTTAGTTTTATCTCAGATGAGTTCTGGGGTACTGGCAGCTTTGTGGGAGAAAGAGCTGATGGTCTGCTGCCATAAAGATTACAACCAAGAAAACCCTGTGGAACAGTATTACTGTGTAGCATGTTGGATCACTAGGAGTCAGAATCTGCTCTTTGGAAATGGGTTTAGTTGTGGGGTTTTTGGCTTGAATTTAAGTTCTTGTGAGGTCATCAGAATCTAATCTGTTGCTTAATGAAAGAAAACAGGGACTTAGCTTTTGTAAGATGGGTACAATTAGCATTTATCTTGGAAACAATATTGAAGAACACGTACTTGTTATAGCAACTCTTCTCCTTTATTTTTTCATTATTGTAAAAATATATACAATAAGAACTGTGAAAGTCAGAACCTGTTGAGAGGAGGAAGAAGGAAAATGCACATATTTCCCAATATTAGTAGCAGAAAAGTAATAAGAATATTTTTGTGGAAAATTTTTGAGAGCTAGGAAAACAAAGACATTCCTGTTATGTTCAGACTCTTACCACATTTCATTGTATAGAAAGTGCAGTAAAATATGCTATTTTAATAATTTTTAGTTATATAGTTCCTTGAGATTGTGTACGTTTATCATATTGTACAGCCACTACAACTGTTTCCAAAAATGTTTCCACATTTCAGTAGAAATTCAGTACCATTAAACATTAACTCCCATCTCTTCCTCCCCAAACATTCTAAATATTTTATATACATAGGGTCATTTATCTCCCTTTTGTATCTGCTGTATTTCCTTGAGCATAATGTTTTCAATATCCATCTATGTCAGCATATTCAGACCTTTATTTGTCTTTATTATGGATAATTTTTCATTATCTGTATGTACCATATTTTGTTTCTCCACTACTGTGATAGATGGTGGTGGTTTTTACCCTCTGGCTATTGTGAAAAATATGGCAGTTAATATTTGCATACAATTATTAGCAACTTTTAAAAAGAAATGTAGCATTTATATGTGAAAGATTCAAACTCACAGCTAAGTCTAGAAGGAGGACTGGCTGAGTATGTGGCAAATATGCTTTGTTTAAAATGTGTGCTGTGGTGAAAGTGGACTGAGGTTCATTTGGCGTCTACACTGAACAAAGGGAAGAGTAGAGCATTATTCTATCATGTTGGCCTGCTGGGGATAGTCACAATAGTTTCAAGGGCCTGAGGCCACTTTCCATGATTTCAGCACTCCCTATCTCAAGTCAGCAAAATGGAATCCCTTTGGCTCAACCTTATATAGAATATATGAGCAATGTGCCTAAACCAGGAATGTAGGAATGATTTCCGTATATGAAATTTTACTTCCCTCCGTTTTCCTTAGTTATAGCACTGGCTTCTCTGTGGTCCTGAATCATCCTAGGGTTCCAGAGGATGTACTCCAATATGTCTCCTGAGCCTCCTCTCAGCTGCTGCTCCTCACATTCTTCCCCTGTTATACTTATTATTGAGAAGACATCAGATGGACCTGCGTTTAAGTTCCTCATCTATTATTTACTTGCAGATTTTGGGGTTCTACTGCTGGGGTTCGTTGCTACTACCAGAGTGACTTGGAGAAATCTCCATGTGCTACTTATCTACTGTAGACAAAATGCAGTTTAAACAAACGAATGCATAGCTTAAAGATGCTTACCTTAATGGACTTTCCTGATGAGTAAAAATGTTTGTGGAAATGATTGGTAGAATGCTTGATGCATCAGCCCATCTACCTATGGTCAACTGATTTTTAACAAGTAGATGAAATCAGTTAAGTGAGAAAGGACAGCCTTTTTAACAAATGGTGCTGGCACAATTGGAAAGCTATCTGCAGAAGACTCAAGAAAGATCCACACCTCACTCCATATACAAAAACCAATTCAAAGTGGATCATGGACCTAGGACTAAAACCAAGGACTATAAACTTCTTAAAGAAAAGCTTCGAAGAACTCTAGAAGTCCTAATCCACAATATAAACAGTCTTCCAAACATCCTGAAAAATCTACAACCAGGAGTAGATGAAATGGATGAATGGGACCTTCTAAGAATCAAATCCCTATGCACATCCAAAAAGTTCTCCAACAGGGTAAAAAGGGAAGCCACAGACTGGGAAAAAATATTTGGTAATGACATGTTTGACAAGGGACTTATATCTAGAATTTATAGACTATTCAAGCACCACAACAAGATAAAGGTAAATAATCCAGTTGAAAAATGGGCACAGGATATGAACAGACATTTCACCGAAGAAGACATTCAGATGGCAAACAAACACATGAAGAAATGTTCAAAATCCCTAACTCTAAGAGAGGTGCAAATCAAAACAATATGAGATATCATCTCACCCCAGTAAGAACAGCAAAATTTAACAGAATAGCAAATATCAAATGCTGGCAAGGTTGTGGAGAAACTGGAACCCTTATTCACTGTTGGTGGGAGTGTAAAATGGTGCAACCACTGTGGAAGGCTATATGGCGCTTTCTCAAAAAGTTGCAAATAGAGATAACATTTGACCCAGCAATTCCACTACTGGGAATTTACCCAAAAGAAACCATAACTGCTACCCAAGTAGATATATACACACCCATGTTTATTGCAGCTTTATTTGCAGTAGCAAAGAGCTGGAACAACCCAAGTGCCCATCAACAAATGAATGGATAGAGAAGCTCTGGTATATTCACACAATAGAATACTATGCTGCATTAAAACACAAGGAACTCAGGCAATATTATTCAAAATGGGTGACCCTGGAGGACATTATGCTAAGTGAAATATCTCAGTCACCAAAGGACAAATATTGCACGGTGCCACTGTTGTAAAATGGGACTGACTCAGCGTTGCGGGAAGACAGAAAAGGAGGGGAGGAGTGATGTATCCTGCATGGAAATAGATGAGAGAGAGAACTGTTTAAAAGGGATGTATGATTGGGTATTATTGTCAATATAGGAGTCCAGAACGAAGTCTACACAGTGGAGTGGGCTTGGGAGGAGGAATTGCATAACAATGAAAGAGTTTTTGTTTTATTTTTCAAGGAGAAGAGTGAATTGGGGGAGGGGGAATGGCAGTGAGAAAAGTGCAACAATGAATGACTGGAAACCCTAAGTCTCTGTAAACTTTCATTAAAATTAATTAAAAAAAATTGTGGCTAACATTGAGAAGAATGAAAAAAAAAAACCCCAAAACATAAAAGATAACCTCTTTTCCTTTCCTTCTCACTGTTCTTCACGGTATGTTTCCTGGTTCTTTTTTCTTAGAAAGGTTTAAATTATATAATTCAATTAATTAACATTTTAAAGCTTAGAATAGGACCTGTCCTTAATTGTTGCTGTGCTGTTGTTGTTGTGAACCCTTGAATTGGAAGTGACTCCTAAGTGCCCCTTGAGCAGCTTTCAGAGGCAGTAAATAGCCTGGGAGATTGCCATCTTTTATCCCTGGAGCAGCAGGTGAATTCGAACCACGTACTTTGAGTGGGCAGCTCATTTCCTTACCACGAAACCACCAGAACTCCCTTTGTGTATAGTTAGCACCGTGAATAAATATGGAGTAAAATAATCAAGTGGGAGTTCAATAGCCTTTTATTCCTTGCTGAAAAGAATAGGTTAGAGCTGAGAGAAAAGTGGATACATCTCAATTCTCTCTTTACCGCAGAGATTTTTTTTTCCTTTCTTTTTTCATTTTGTGAGGAGTCAGGTGGCTGAAATGGGATTGATGATGTTTCTTTAGTTTTACATTCCTGGGCCATAAATCTCAGGATGAAAGGCAGGCACAGGTGAATGGTCAGAATTTTACACTGCTGTAATTTTTTTGTACTTGAAAACAGAAGTTTGCATGCCTTTTAGAGTTACTAAAATCTCTCTCCACCATTTCTTTTTTCAGTATTATTTCTTAAAACAGGATCATAGTCCATGTAGAATAAAATGAGTGAGCTTGCTGGATTTGAATTCCCACGGCCAGGATTAACTCTGTTTAGTGTGGGTTTGTGCAAGTGTTTATCTGTATTTCATTTGTCTCCTCTGTAAAATGGAAATTAGAATAGTTCTTTCTTCATGAGCTGTTAATAGCATTAAATGAGATCACATGTTCTGAAACAGTGTCTGACACATGGTAACTATGTATTATACGATACAATATGGTCACATATGTCTGTAAGATTGTATTATCCCTTTAGATTATGGCTGTTTTATGTCAGTTTTGCATCAGTACCCTGTCTAATCTTTCTCCCGTATCCACTTTTCTTTCAGTGAGGTGTGCCAGTCCTTAGTGAAACATAGCTCTGGAGCAAAAGGAAGTGTGTCACTACAGAAACTGCATTTGGTTTCACGCAGTATTTATCATTCACATCATCCTACCTTAAAGCTTCAAAGACCTCAATTAAGGACATCATTTCAGCTGTTCTCTTCTTTTACTAACCATCCTTTACATAAATTGAAGCTTTCTCCAATTAAATATGGTTACCAGCCCCATAGGAATTTTTGGCCAGCAAGATTGGCTGCAAGACTCTTAAAACTTCGATATATTGTACTAGGATCTGCTGTTGGAGGTGGCTATACAGCCAAAAAGGTGAGTTTCGTGTCCTTGCTAGTTTTCTACTTAAACTAGCTTGTTTAACATTTTACAGCAGAAATCATGAATGGAGTAGAAGATAATCTCTATTTAAATACCTATTTTGTTTGTGTCTCCTATGTACTAGTTGAAAAATGCCTCCTTAGTATTACTAATTTGGGGAAGCAAGGAACTGGAAGTAAAAACACTGCTTTGATTTTCCACTTACCTTATAGTGGTGGAGACAAGAAAGTTAGCTGGGATGTTAACACCACCACACACCAGCTGTACTTGGACTCAGGAAAGGGAGTCTTTTATGTGCCTGCATTATTTAAAGCTAACTCATGAACTTACCTGAACTAGAAGAATTTGGATTTTTGCATTCCATGTATTAAAACTTGATGCTTTCACGTCGGAACTGATTCATAGCTGACCTCAGTTAAGTTTTTGAGAGGCTGTATATTGCACTGGAGAAGAGTGTCCCTACTTCTTCCACAGAGCCATTAGTGGATTTGAACCGCCAAAGAGGCGCCACCTTGGGTCAGCAGTGCACAGTCTTCCAGGCTGGCTGATAATCACCTTCAGAGTAACTGGACACAATTACATTTATTTCTTAAAAAGTTTTAGAGTAATCTACTCCTAGTGGATTAAGACAATTTTCCCTTGTTCTCCTGTGGCATCTGAAGCATTTGATTGACATACTTTCTTATTTTTCAGACCTTTGATCAGTGGAAAGATCTGATACCTGACCTTAGTGACTATAAATGGATTGTACCTGACATTGTGTGGGAGATTGAGGACTATATAGATTTTGGTTTGTACCATTAAAATTTTTTTTTGGTAGTTTAGTTATAGAAAGGAAATAGTTGTATTGGCATAGTCTTTTTTAATTCATGCATATAGTGTATGTTGTTGTTGTTGTTGTGTACCGTAGAGTCAGAAGCGACCCAGAGCTGACCCCATAGCAGGTTTTCAGAGGCAGTTAATTGCACGGGATGAGATTGGCCGTCCTTCTCCCCCAGAGCAGCAGGTGGATTTGAACTGAATGCCTTCGGCATTATAGTGCAGATTCTTATCCCTAGGCCACCAGAGCTCCCTATATAGTGTATAGCAGTTTTAATTTAATATATAAAAATAGTAGAATGATTAAAAAAACAACAAAAACAATTTACAGCAAGGAAATAACTAGTCCTTCCTTCACTTTAACATAGCTACCACAATCCTTAAGGAGCATTCTCTCTCTGTTATATTTGTGGTTAATATTTTTTGTTTCCTTTTTAAAAATTAGTCAGTGAACATACACTTCAGTCTCCTCTTTTGCTGGCTACCCATTTTATCAGCATTTCTTCTAGCCAACTTCCCCAGCACCTTGTTCAGCATAGTATTGTCCTGAACATACGAATCTTAATCAGCTTAGCTAACCCTCTTTGATTATCTTTGTTACCCCAATTTTTTAAAATCAAGTTTCTTAAGAACTCTTAGACATGAATAATTTTTCCCCTCTTCTTCAGCTTATGCTCTGCCCTGTTTTCTAACAATAAAACAAAATTGAACCCTGCTGCCATCAAGGTAGTTCTGATTGAGAATGACCTTGGTAGAAGTCACACAATAACAGACTACGTCTGTATCGTTTTCCTATAGAATAGCGAATGGATTCATATGGAAAATTTTTCCATTAGCGTCTGAACATGTAACCTCTGTGTTACCTGAGTTCTTTCTAAAATTAAGTAAATGAAAATAAAAATTATTTGATAAATGCGATCGCCAGTAATTTGTGGTTATGACGTTAAAAAAATTGGATAAAATTATCTTCCTTTGTCTCTTTTTTCCCTCTCTGCTTGTTTCGCTCATGTATATGTAGAGGTGGATTTAATCTCTACAAGTACTTTTTTAAGAGTACTTTCTCAAAGATGAAGCTGTATCCCATTGACAAAGACATTTGAAGGAATAGAACTTTTTCAGTGTATTTTTCTCATGTTTATAAGGAAAACTTTTTGACATTTCCAGTACCACAAAATAGGGGTGGAGAGCAAGGATTTTGGAGCTTGATTGTCTAAACTTGAACTCTTTTTTTGTTTGTGTTTTTTTTTTCTTTAATTTTATTTTATTAATTTTAATGAACATTTACAGAGATTTTGGATTTCCATTCATTCATTATTGCACTTTTCTCCCTGACTCACTCATTGCTCTGAAGTCAGAACCAACTCATAGCAGATCTGCTAGCAGGTTTTCAGAGGCTTTAAACTGCATAGGAGGAGATTGACAGCTGTTTCTCTTGGAGCAACTGCTGGATTCAAACCCACATGCCTTTGGATTGGCAGCAGAACTTCCTCTCCCCTAACCCATCAGTGCTACCAGTAATTGAGGCAGTTGTTATGTGCCATCAAATTGGAACCAGTTGATGGCTGACCCACCAGTGGGTTTTTAGAAGCTGTAAATCTCATGGGAGGAGATTGTCCATCTTTATCCCATAGAGCACTTGGCAGATTTGAACCTCCTGCCTTTGACTTGGCAGCACAACTCCTTAGCTAGTAGGCTACCAGAGCTCCCTATTAATAAAGTAAAAGCTGACCATAGACTTTTAGACAGTCACCCCCACTTGGTAGTGAGTGTAAGTCTTTGGGACTATGAAAGGTAGGAGAAAAGTAATACAACACTGTGCTTAAATTTGAACAGACTCTTCTCACATGCCTGTTTTTCTGTGACATACTCCCAGAAAGTACATCTGATTGCAATCCACTGTTAACATTTTTACATTTTTAATATAGTGCTCATGTCCCGCTGCATTTAACTTAATGCCTATTAAACCATTCAGTAGCAAATTCTTTAAATCTTTCATTCTATATGGAATATTATCAGAATAACATAGTGTCTCTGATATATATGATATAGTTTGGGATTGTTTTTTTTTTTTTAAATAATTTCTTTCAAGTCACTTCCAGTCCTCTATCCAGTTTCCAAGGCCGTAAATTGCACAAGAGGAAATTCTCATCATTCTTCTATGAATGTAAATGGATGTTATTGTTCACTTGTGTGCCGTTGAGTCAGAACTGACTCATAGGTAACCCTCGAACAGGTTTTCACAGGCTCTAATGTGCACAGGAGGAGGTAGATTGGTAGATTGGAACTATGTACCTTCGGGTTGGCAGTGCAGCTCCTTACTGTTAAGCCACAAGAGATCCTTTATATAAATTTTAGATGCATTTTTTAATATTCAAATTTTTTTTTACCAAATGTCTAGTTTTTGTTGCTTTTTAAAAGTGCAGTATTTAAAAAAAAATAATAAAAAGTTCAGTATTATTTGATCAAAAGTTTTCCAAGTCAAGAATATGTATATTTCTGGGTCTTCTCCAGATAAAATTAGGAAAGCCCTTCCAAATTCAGAAGACCTTGCAAAGCTGGCACCTGACTACGACAAGATTATTGAGAGCCTCAGCTTACTGAAGGACTTTTTCACCACAGGTAAGAAGGGCCTATGTTTAAGTTCATCTATGATTTAAGACCCACAGATGAAAATACATAGATATATTTGGGGTTTTAATTCTCATTTTTAAAATCTAAAACATTTAGCGCAAATGAAAAATAGGTTAAAGAAAAGCATAAAATTTGATCATGTGGTAGTTTTCATTTCCATTGAGCCAATCAAGTGAAAATGAATGAGAAATGTATTTGACTTTTCTTAGTATAGGTGGGGGGGACCCACTTAGTCTTGACAACTGGATGAGACTTCCTATGTGTTTACTTTTCATAATTGGTTATACCCAATTTGATGATTTAAAACTAATTATGGAAAATCAAAATGAGGAGTTGATCAGAATTAATTCTGGCATCTTTGCCCAGTCACTGCCCTATTATGATTTAAGTAAATCTGAGATCTCGAATATCTTTGTTTGCTCATCCCTGTTAAATTTTATATTTTTATTTCCCCTTTTGCTGATTTTTCACAGGTCACAAATTGGTTAGTGAAATCATAGGAGCTTCTGACCCACTACTGTTGTTAGGTGTGTAAACAGACATTTTTGCTGTCTATAACATGCCTTTTAAATGCTTCTAATAAACCAGTTGCAGATAAAAAATTATGAGCCAAATTATAACACTGCTTATGTTGACTTTTAAAACTCCAAAAGTGTGTTAGACAAACATATCCTTTAGGTGGAAATAATAAAATCATTTTATGATAAACTAAAATTCCTAAGTACATATCTGTTAAGAGTTTAAAGTTATTAAAAAAGATCGTTTACTTAGCCAAAATAGTTTATTGATACAGATCTAATTGTTTTTTTATAGTTGAAATGAAAAGTAATTTTAGTATGTCTCATCTTCTCTGTCATGGTTGATTCTTTAGGTTTATTCTGTTGCATGTTTGGGTTACAGTGTCAGTGATACATGACCAGTCTCTGACTACTCCCATGTAAAACAGTCCTTGCAAGAGGACTTTTTTTTTTAGCTTTAAATTATATATGTTTTTAAATGGTGTAAACTTGTGCTCTGTGTTTTGTTTTAGAGTCCTCAAATTACTGATAGTTTTCCTTGAAATAAGGACAATTTTCTAAAAGTTAACTTGGTAACTTGAATCTGGGCACTCTAAAAATTCATTTATCTTTTAATTAGGTGGGCATAACTTAAGGGTGGCTTTAGACTATTGACAACATTAGAGAACATAAAGGATTGCATATTTGTCTTGAAGGTTCACCTGGAGAAACAGCATTTAGAGCAACAGATCCTGGATCTGAAACTGACAAGCACTACAGAAAGGTAAATTTAAGGGAGAATTCTTCACATAGGTAGTCTTGAAAGACTTCTTTTAAAGTGTTTACCGTAGAAGATTTGAAAATGATAACGTCTGAGAAGCAACTGCAAAGGCATCTAATTAGAGGTATTGTTACTGATCTTTGTGAAAATGCAGATGCATATGGCACTTCTGGAAATAAAGTTAGAGAATCCTATTTCTTTCACATATATGTGAAATATTTGTTTCAAAGATAATCTCTAAGAAAAGATTTTGTTGCCAAATATATGTGAGAAAAGCTGAGTTGGTACAAATCAGCAGGTTTTTTGTTTTGTTTTTTTTCTCTAGGACATTTCACTCTTGTGCTTTATAATCTCCAAGACTAGTCACAGTGTGCTGGGTTTTCCAGATTCACTTAGAACCCATTTTTTATACTATTCTTTCTAGGGATTGACGAGATTATTAGGGAATGCATCAGTTCTACTTTGTTGATAATCAACAAAGATATATAAAGGATTATTTAGAGCATGGCACTTTCAACACATGAGTATTAACAATCCATATAAGACTTTGAGACAAATTTCTAATGTAGAATTTATTGTTTTAGATGTTAACAAGATACCTTTTTGGTCTTTAGTCTTCACTCTTTTCATTCTTTTGGAATTAGTAAAGTAATTGCTTCTTAGAAATGTTAAGAAATAATATTTAGATAAATAGATGTATGGGAAAAGTATTCTACACTTAAAAATTACATGTATAATATGTAGCTCTTATATTGAAGACTTTTAGTACCTTAAAGGGATTGATTTTGTATGTGTTTGGGAAGGTGTTAGAGATTGCCATCTCCCTCCCTCTATCCTATAACTTTGAACTATTATATGGGAGGCTAAATTTTAATCAACTGTATTCCAGTTGTTTTATGTTACAGTGTAAATTTGTTCACCTAACAAGCTGGAACATGAGAAAGACTGAGAATGAAATAGGCATGCCTCGAGGACCATTAATGAAAGTACAGTGCAGTGAGAGTGTTGGAATTGGGGGGACATAAGTGTCAGATTGTTTGACTTCCTTCAGGCAGAATGAAAAGTCAGCACACCTTGGAGTCACTACACCTTGCTGTTCTGGAAGGGTGTCATCATGGTCTTCCAGATACTTTTAAAATCTGCAAAAACCCAGTGTCTATAAAAATCATATCTTTTCACCTAAGGCTTCACAGGCTAATTAAACAGTTTGTGAACATAATTATGTTACATTAATAAAAAAATTTGATTACTGCTTTGTAATAATGAAAAATGGAGAAAAGTACTAAAACCACCACTTACTAAATACTGTGTTACTCAGTCTTTTAAAGCTCCAGTATTCACTGGAGAAAATGACTGAAAATAGCCCTTGATGTGAAACCTCCCAAGTAACTTGAAGACAGATAGAGAGTTGGACTGTGGAGTGTATTTTAGTGCTTTAATGGCCTCATTTAACTTGTAAATAAATGGATTTTTGTATATCAGCCACAACATATATAGGTGACAGAACTGTTTAGTGTATATTCTGTTAAGATTGGTGTGTTCTAGTGAAAATTTCCTTAATGAGACATTATCTGCACTTCTGTCTTTTATTCCTGATTGCTAATAAACATCTCATAAAAATATAAAGAATATGATTATTCTGAAGGTAATAAGTACATTTTTAATTTATGGGAAATATTTCCTATACTTTGAAAAGCCAAGGCCAAGAAAAGTGCTTTAAATACAATTGTCTCAAGAAACTGCATTTTCCAGAGTTTTTAATTCTAATTTTTGTTCCTTTATATACATGATGCCTCTTATGTTTTATAGAGCAGTTGCCTCTTTTTGTTTTACCTACTTGATTTCTACTCATTCTTAAAGCTCCACTGAACTGTTTGTTACCTTCTCAAAAACCTACCACTGTTTATTTGGCTTGCATTGTTCCTACTTGATAGGCCTAGTCTATCACTAATTCTTTGTCTTTAGAGCATGTATGGCAGTTCTCTGTATAAGCAAAGTAAATTAGCTATTTGATTTAACTCAGAAGAGAAACTAAAGTAATTGTGTTTGGTTGATGCCAATAAGGATAGGTTAGACAAATATTAGACACTAATATTTGATATGAATTATACCTCAACATGCAGAAAATAACTTGGTCAGTAGGGAGCATCATGATAATGAAGAGAAGATTGAAGTTCTTGAGGACTTCGTTTTACTTAGAACCACAGTCTTGGAAGCTCTTGGAAGCAGCGTTCAAGAAATTAAATTACATACTGGATCAGGCACATCTGCTGACAAGGGCCTTTAAAATGCTTGCTCAAGAGCAGGGATGAGAATTTCAAGACTGAAGTATGTCAGACCCAAGCCTTAGTATTTTCAGTTGCTTCATACTCATGTACATGTTGGACAGTGAATACTGAAATTGGAAGATTGGTTGCTCTTGAATTGTAGTGCTGGGGGAGAATATGACATTTACTGTGGACCACTAAAATAACGAATAAATCTGTCTTGGAACAAGCAGCTGGAACTTCTTAGAAGGGAAGATGATGAAATTTAAGCCTTAGTCTTGACATGCTTTGGACATGTTATCAGGAAGAAGGACTTGAACGAGGAGAGTCAGGGAAGGAGAGGAAGACTCAATGAGACTAATTGACTCCATTACTTTAACAGAAAGATTGGGAGGGTGACAAGGTTAGGCAGGACTTTGTTCCTTTGTACACAGAGCTTCCATGAGTTAGAGGCGACTTAAAGGCCCTTAGTAACAGCGAGCCAGTTTGTCACTGTTGCTGCTAGATGCCGCTGAGTTGACTATGACTCCTGGCAGTCCTATATAAACAGACCTGGACCTGCCCTGTCCTGCACCCCCTCACAATCTTTGATATGCTGAGCCTGTTGTTAAAGTTACTATGTCAGTCCATCTTGTTGGGTCTTCCCTCATTCTCTGACCTCCCACTTGAAGTTTATGTAAGGTGTAACTTTCTCCTTAGCCTTCATATCTGGAACCCCCTGAGTGGTTCGGACATTTAACACAAAAGTTTGGCAGCTAACGTCTACCTAGAGGCATCATAGAAGAAAGACCTGTTAGTGGCCTGGAAGATCAGCCGTTGAAAACCTCGACCCACGTGGAGTGACCATGAGTTAGAACTGATTATGTTTTTATTGAGGAGAACAATGGCTGAGAAAATTGTGTATGTGGTTGATATTCCAAATTTTAACAAAACAGGGTTGCTTAAATGAGATACACCATTTTGGGACTTCCTTATGTAACAATTATTGTAATAACTTTGTGACACAGTTAAATTTTTAACCTCGCACCATCATGTAACCACAGGTCCAGGAAATTCTGGTTTCCTGAGTAACAGATAGCAACTGCACTTGTTTCAGTGCTTGGTCAGGAACCCAGGCCGCTGAGGTTCTGGAGATGAGTAGATGGGGCAGCAGGGGACAAAAAATGGGGAAGAGCGACATGGAGAAAAGCAGAATGATGCAACAGACAACCTTAATAATAGACTCCTGGAGCTTTGTGTTATTCAAGAATCCCAAAGTAGTATTTGATGTGTACATGATTAGGTAGCAATATAGAATAAAGGGTGATGTTGTTTATTGTTGAATTGCAACCAACATGTAGCTGGGATTAGATGCAAACTACAGTATTGTTTATGACTAGTGGCAGTAGCCAGGCTGTTTTGTTTATCTCTTAACATTATTTGTAGAAATTGTCAAATAATGAAATAAGAATATTGCATTTCTGGATTGGAGCAACTTCAGTAATCAAGTTTCCTTTGGATGGCCTACAAAAAACATTCTTCAGCTGGCTATAAATAAACTTTAACAGAGTTATATGTAACTAGAAGTGAAGAAATTAAGGGGAAAAGGCTCTTTTTATTTCATCAAATAGCAGAATTATGTAATGTTTACTCAGTAATTCCATATGAGGGAATACTTTTTAAATGTAAAGAGGACAGAGTTTTTACTTTTATCTTCTTTTGCTAGATAAAGGATATTGTTAAAACTTCTAGAGCAAGAGTTAGCAGACTTTCTAGGCCAGAGAGTATTTAGGATTGTGGGCCCTAAGGACTGTTCAGAGAGTCCACCATAATTAGCCAATTCACGCTTAAAGAATAATTCAAATATATTTCCCAGTGTAGCCATTTCCCCTTTGTAGATATGGAATGAACCTGATGGATGAAAACTTTGGAAACAGACCATGTTTCGGAATGATACCCACTGCAGACTGGCTTCACACTGCTTGAATTTAGATCTTCCTACTTTCTAAGATGTGTGACCTTGGACAAAGTACTTAGCTTCTCAGTGCTGGTTTCCTCTTTGTTAAAGGGAAAAACTATTTAATAGATGTGTTGTTGTTGTTGTTAAATGCCGTCGAGTCGCTTGCAACTCATAGATACGCTATGTACAACAGCCCTAAACGCTGTTCTATCCCATGCCAGTCTCACTGTCTCCAACACACCTGCCCCAATTAACCCAGTCACTGAATCAGTCTGCTTCATAGAGGGTCTTTCCCTCCTGCGCTGTTCTTCCACTCTCCCAAGCATGACATCCCTCTCCAAGGACTGGTCCCTCCTTGCAACAGGTCCAGAGTATGTCAGATGAAGCTTCAGAATACTTGCCTCCAAGGAGCAGCCTGGTTTAACCCTCTCCAGGGAGAACCTGTTCATTTTCTTAGCAGTCCATGGTATATTCAATAATCTTCTCCAACACCACAGCTCAAAGGCATCAATTCTCCTTCTCTCCTCCCTAGTCAGGGTCCAGCTCTCTGAGGCATAGCAAGTGATTGCAAAGACCATGGCCTGTATCATATGCACCTTAGTCTCCAGAGAGACACCATTGATCTTCAGTATCTTGGAGAGGTTCCTAACAGCAGACTTTCCCATCCCAATTTTAATTTCCTGGATACTGGTGCCAAGAATGTTTACTGTGAAGCCAAGCAAACTAAAGCTGTGAACAATCTCAATCTCTTCACCATCCATCCTGATGCTGCCACTTGGCCCAGTGGCAAGAATCTTTGTCTTCTTGATATTGAGCCTCAATCTATATTGAAGGCTGCAGTTAGATTGTTAGCACATAATAAACTAAACAATTGTGAAGATGGTAATGACAGTTAAAATTGTTGTTGTTGTTATATGCCATTGAGTCGCTTGCGACTCATAGTGACCCTATGTACAACATCCCTAAACTCTGCTCTGTCCTGTGCCAATTGCACCGTCTCTGATACACCCATCCCGATTACCCCAGTTACTGAATCAATCCACCTCATAGGGGGCCTTCCCCTTCTGTGCTGTCCCTCTACCCTACCAAGTATGATGTCCCTCTCCAAGGACCTGTCCCTCCTTGCAACATGTCCAAAGTATGTTAGACGGAGCCTTAGAATCCTTGCCTCCAAGGAGCAACCCGGTTTGACCCTTTCCAGGATGAATCTGTTTGTTTTCCTAGTAGTCCATGGTACCCTCAATACTCTTCTCCAGCACCACAGCTCAAAGGCATCAATTCTCCTTCTATCCTCCTTAAGTCATTGTCCAACTTTCTGATGCATAATAAGTGATAGCAAAGAGCCTGGCCTGTATCAGATGCACCTTAGTCTCCAAAGAAACACCATTGCTCCTCAATACTTTGGAGAGGTTCCTAACAGCAGACTTTCCCATGGCAATACATCTTCTAATTTCCTGGCTACTGGTGCCGAGAGTGTTGACTGTTGGAGCCAAGCAAACTGAAGCTGTGAATAATCTCAATCTCTTCACCATCCATCCTGATGCTGCCAATTGGTTACAATCATTATTATCTTAAAATTTGAGTTTACAGCAATTGATTAGTTTCTCACCTCTTGTTCTTTTGTGGGATTTTTCTAGGAATTACGTGAAATTGGTTTTAAGGTTGGTATTCACAATAGTGGTTTTGGGGAAAGTCCATTTACATTTTCTATTAGAAATTTCATATGTTCATTTTGGTGGTATTAATTTGGTTCATTAAGACAGCACATATGTGCCTACTCCTGTTTTAGCTGCTGGATATAATACATTAAACGTGTGTCAGACCTCATTTATTCTAGGGTGTTGTGATAGGCCATCGAGCCTTAACCAACTCAGAGCTGATCCTCCAGCAGGTTTTCTGAGGCAGGTAATTGTATATGCCATAGGAGAATGAGATGAACATGGGCCTTACTTTGTTGTGAATTCTAAAAATACAAGGAAAAAAAATTCTGTTTTTAATACACATACACAGAATGTTTCATTGTAATAGCACTCATCCTGCTTCTCTGATTTTCATTTCCATTAATCTCTCCCACAGAAATGCTGCCTTTTACCCTTGTGTGATTGTTCTAAGGAGTGTGTAATTCAGTAGCGTTACTTGCTCATCACCTTAGTACTCTGACTGAAAGTTGAGCTACAGGGATCGATTTAGTTCCAGGCTCATAGAGCAACTGAGGGTCTTAACCTTAGGGGCCTCCATTAGTCCATCAGACCAGCAAGCCTGGATTTTTATTTTTTTGCTTTGAGTTTTCCTCAGTCTTCTCCTACTCTACTCAGATTCCTTTACAATGGTCTCTTTTGGAAAAGTAAGCTGTGGTAGCTGGGCGCCAGCTAATAGTATTTTGGTTGACTCTTACTATTTGGAGTCATTGTATAAAATAATTTTCACCAAACTGATTAATTTTCAGGTCATCACAGCACTTTCTAACTTTTTTTAAAGTTGATAGTTTGATTTGGGCATTATTACTGATTTTCTTGATATACCATTGTCATGCTTTTGAAAAATCTGTGAACATTATACATGAAATACTAGCTTTTTAGAGAGAATATCATCTGTTGTTAGCAGGGAGACTTTTTAAATGTGTTATTTGTTGAGAAAAATGGCCTAGCTGGGCAAATACTTATTAGAATTAACTGTATTTTGTGCATCTGAAGAGTATGTCATCTACAGTGTATACACACATTTCTCCCCCTTCTCTCCCATGTATGGCTCTATCTCAGAAGCTTGTGTAAGGTGAGATTTGATGCCTGTAATTGGAGAGAGCCACTGTCTTCACATCTTATGGTATAGAGTAAATAGGTTTTCTTATCTAATAATGTATTTTCTTCATGCTTTTTTCAGGAGGTAACAATTAATTTCAGCAATCTTTACATTATAATGATTCAGTAACCGACTTGGAAAGAAAAGCAAGATGGCACTATAAAAGGGTGATTAACGTGATACAGTGGATAGTTATCACATGGCTGTGCATAGGTGTGACTAGTGCATTAGGGAGCATTGTAAAAACAATTAAAAAAGGGATTGTGTGCCTGATAGACTAGCATGGTTAAGAAATGTGGCTATTTGCACACTGCTCTGGCATCTTATAAATTGGTGATGTAAGTTAGTTTAAACAGGTGCATAAAAGAACTGGAAGACACATGGTAAGCCCTTTTTAAAGTGTAGTAATGACCAAGTGAATAAAATGAAGTTAAATACTTTGTACTTGATGAAATCTAATGTCATGGAAAAATTAGGAGATTTTTGAGGTAGTGAATTTTGGACAGTGTCTGTCTTTGACTCATTTCTTTAAATGGCATGTCTTTAAAGTTAGCTGTAAGTTTTTAAAAATATGTGGTTTTTTACATTTTTATATATTTTATTTTTTTATATTTTATATTTTTTTATTAAAAATATCTGGAATCAAGATTGAATTTTCAGTTGTATTTTGGGCCACTCTAGTGTTCTCGTACTGGACCTTCTAAGGAAAATGCAATTGATTGCACCAGTAGATTTCAGTTAGCTAGTTTCTCATTCATTACCTAATGTTGAGAGTAATCAGAGAATAATGTACTGAAGAGGAGCGCTGATGGGAGTGGTTAAGAGCCTGTGTGCTGGCTGGAAGTCACGGTTCATTGTGGTTTGAATCTACCAGCTGCTCTTTGGGATGAAGAGGTAGCAGTTTGCTCCCATACAAGTTACAGCTTCAGAAACCCCTGGGGCAGGTCCATTCTGTCCCACTGGGTGGCTCTGACACAAGGATTCTAAATGAAAATAACTCTAGATTTTGTCACTGTTTTTCCTAATTTGACATACTTTGCTTTAATAAAAATTTTTTTGTATTCTCTTCTGGAAAGATGTTATATTTATATAAGTGTTTGGGTTATAGAAGGCGAATCCATAGTTAGGCTTTGAATGAGTCTACTAATTAAATTTTTAATACTACAGTAATAATTAGCATTTTATTCAAGAGACTTTTTAATTGCACAGTATAAACTAAAACATTTTGGCAATCTCTTTTAAAGGTTTATCTTTTTGAAGATAACTTTTTAAAGTTGTTGTTGTTGTTATGTGCCCTCGAGTCACTTGTGACTCATAGCGACCCTATGTACAAGAGCCCTAAACCCTGCTCTATCCTGTGCCAACTTCACTGTCTCTGACACGCCTACCCCCATTACCCCAGTCACTAAATAGAACCATCTCGCTGAGGGTCTTCCTCTCCTGTACTGTCCCTCCACCCTCCCAAACATGACGTCCTTCTCCAAGGACTGGTCCCTCCTTGCAGCATGCCCGAAGTATGTCAGACGAAGCTTCAGCATCCTTGACTCCAAACACGTGGCAAGGGGGGAGTAGCAGCATTGAATCTAACAGTCATTTCATATCTTTCAAAAAGGAGTTAATTACATTTAAAACTTCTAATTTAGATGATTTTAGCATTAGTTTCTATAATTTATAATTTGGTAAATAATATTTTTTGTAAATACTTTTCTTGGGCAGTTTGTTTAGTCATTCATTGAAGCTGAGCTTTTTTAGGATTTCTGATTTGAAAAATATTAGTTTAGTGTGATCACATGCCTTTGTTGCCTTTCCTCCGTATTTCTAAGGGTCGACTGTATAACAAGCCAGCAGTTAAAAATACTGTGCCAGAAAATTACATTTATTTTAATATCCTCCTACATGATACCATGTTAGGGTAAATAACACACTAGTTTAACAGTTTTTTTTATTTTTAAATGCCATGAGTGGTTATTTTGTACATAGGACTAAACTGGTTTTTGTTTAACTTCTACTTTTTAATCAGATTGTCTCCGTTTCTCATGTCCTTTTATGATGCTTCTGCTTTAGAAATTGATACGGGTTTGTCAAAGGTCATGTCCATTTGATGTCATAACAGCTGGTAAAAAGTGAAAATTCACTCAACTAGATTTGTGACTTGTAGGGATTTATTTTGTTTGATGTTGCAAAAGTTAAAATAGATCCTGAAATGTTTTTAAAATTTCCACCATCGGTGTAAATTTTAATCAAATTAGCTTGTGTGTACACAGTGCAGAATTTGTGAATTAATGTAAAACCTTGATTAACTCAATGCTAATAAAACCTTGATTAACTCAGTGCTAGACAATTCTGGAAGGATTTGAGGAACTCTCCTAAAGTCAGATAGCAAAAAACTTACTTAAAATATGAACTTCATTTCCTTATTAAGTAAGTGATAAACAGTTTCTTTTTTACCTAAAAGTATTAAAGAAAACCCAGTTTGCAGCTCTCATTCCGTCTCTTGTGCCTTATACCCCTTAATTCAGCCTCCTGAAAGTTATGACTGAAAACTAGCATTTGGCCTCCAAGGTCAATTGGAACATGTTAGCAATTCAGAAATAAGATTTTTACCGGGAAGCTAAGCTGCGATAGCGCCTTCAGTGAGCATTGCAGTTAGTCCTGGTTTTACAGTATTTTGAGATATTTTTATATATATATATATGGCTCATTTTGTTCAGTTAGCAATTGTTTATTATTGCGTTTTCTGTTTCACTTTTTAAATTATGCTGTTTTGTTTGACTAAGGCCTCTTAATTTTACTAAGGGGGAAAAATGGAAATGGCAGTACAGAGCCCAATTATTCCATGGCTCTAGCAGTACGTGAAGTTTCCATTTTGGTTAAAAACTCTCCTTTCCTCCCTATCTTGCCCCTGTTCCTTTGTTGTGCCCCTTGGTTTAACATTGTTCTCCTCCTCAATTTTCCTCTTCTCCTTATTGTAAACTCATGGCAGGGTCTGCTTGGTGAGCTCATTCTCTTACAACAGCAAATTCAAGAGCATGAAGAGGAAGCACGCAGAGCTGCTGGCCAGTATAACACAAGCTATGCCCAACAGAAGCGCAAGGTGATGGATGGTTTAAGGGGGCTACTGATGTGTTCAAACTAATCAGCTATTTCTGCCAGGATATCATGTCACCTTAATCCATTCATGGATTCTAGTTATGAGAAACTACTTTTGACAGAGTAAAAATTTGTAAGAAATTTAATATAAACCTGTAACTATCTAAAATAGGAAATACAGATAAGTTAAGCAGAGCAATTTAATTTATGAGCATTCACTTGTGAATGTCAGGGATTTGTATTTAGAGAATTATAAATTGCTTGTTTACTTGGTTTAATGATTGAGCCACTCTAAATTAGAATCTATTTGTTCTACAAGTTTTCATTTCTGAATGAAAAGGGTCACTATGGATGATCAAATTTAATTCTTTAGAGCATGAAATGCTTTATTTCTTATTGTTAGGGAATGATCAGCTTGTAGAAGAAAAATACCTTAATTCAACTTTGAGCAAGTAAATGTCGTTTTATAAGTCAGTAAGCTCATTTTATGAAGTTTTTCCATTTCTACAGTTAAGTGCAAAAATATTTTACGTTGGCTCACTGAAGGATTGGACATTGGAGATTTTATATAATTCTAGTCTCCAAATACTGTATTAAAGGCATAAATTTCTAAAAATGTTCAATTACTGGTACACTGAAGAGGTCTTTAAAAATAATATTTTTGATTGTTGAATGATTCCATTTTGTGGATCCCCAGGAGACTGTTGAGTAGAAAATAAATAAATGTAATGATTTTAAGTTATATTCTGAAATCTTGAAGTTGGCGAATTATATTAGATCCAGAAAAAAATGTGTTAAAGCATATGCAAACCTTTATTCAGAAAAATATTTAGTCATATATTTGATTAGCTTTGCAAACTTTCTAATAGTTAAAATTGAAGTTAGCTGATTTAGAGCAGTAATTCTTTAACCTTTTTCCACTTGATGGTGGTTAATATTTAAGAGTATTCATCAAAATTCTACTTATTTTTTCAGTGTCACTTGCTGGCTTTTCTCAATTCCATGGCTGTGGAATCAACTCACAGATTTCAATGAAGGAATAGCTTAGGTGGCAGTAAAAATAACAAGTTACAGTTTTGACTGTTAGTTAAATTAGCAAAAGGCCTTAATTTTAAATAGTAATGTAGCACTTCTGTCCTAATAGTGTTGAGGCAACCATTTACATGTTCTAACAAACTAGATGTTTACGCTGACATCCTATCCACATTTTAGCTTTGTTATAAAAAGAAAATGCTAGTGTATGCTGTCATTCTAATTAGAAATAGGACTATAATTGTAGGCACAAGTTATTTTAAAATGTTTTTCTTTTCATAACGATAAGCTAGTTTGCAATGCAGCCCATAGACTTACCACATTAAGATTAAGATGTGGTTTAGAAATACTGATGGAATTTTGTATGTAAACATTGATAAGATGTTAGTAATACATTAGCTTTTTTTCCACATTACCAAAAGTGAATGTTGATGTTGGCTTTTAGTCTGTAGGGAGCTGTGCTGATAGCCCAAAGGCAGAGCCTGTGGTGGTTTGACTCCGACAGTGGCTCCTCGGGAGAAAGATGGGCAGTTTCCATCCATGCAATTTTACAGTCTTGAAAACCTGCTGAAGGGTAGGATTGAGCAAGTTATTGGTCAGAGAATCATTGATATTTAATATTTATTGGATAATCCACTTGCCCCTTGTATTCCTCCCTTTGTATATTTGCAAATTAAAACCTGATAGGACTGTACCTTCATTGGGTATGTTTATATGGCCCATGTAGTAGGACACCAAGCATTGGAGCTGCTCGCTTTGGCGCTTCTTTGTGTACAAGTCTATGGGGCTGTAAAAGCATTTAAACACATTGCCACACACTTTTAAATTGACGACCATGCTTAGAAACACATTTTTTCACTGTAGCCGTCATTTGCGGCAACGTGTTTATAATCTTCCATATTGAAATTGCTATCCTACAATGCAGTTCCTTACTTGTTGCCTCTCCTTTTCTCCCTGTACTAAATAATCATGTTCACTACTATCTGATTTGGAACTTCCGCATAGCCGTAATGACTTTTTAGAAAACGACTGAGGTTCAGGCTTGGTCTGTGAGGAGCTAGTAAAGGTTTTTCTCTTTCAGCTTTAGCATGTTTCTGCGGAGGAGTCCGCTTTTTCTCCATCAGTTTCACAGCCCTGGCATTGTAGAAAAGCTCTGGTTTCAGGACCATTGATACCCCTTTCTGTCAGGGTGAGTTTTAAATTCAGTACACAAACTGACAATATTAAGCACAGGACGTGGACTTATTGTAAGTGGCTGAATTTTGCCAATAAGTGCATTATTGTCTTTAATATAGTACTCAAAAAGTGGAATACATTCAAGTAAAATGTACCTAAAGTGCTTGTTAAGGCCTGAAGTAAGTGACAGATTGAAAATAGCCTAAGTTGGTCTCTTAAGAGAATATGTAAAGACATCTTGGCAGTTTTGATAATTGTTTTGTAAACCTAAATGTTTTGTTGTTTCCTAGAAAATCCTGAGTTAGCTCTAGACTCCACCACCAGTTTGTCTTTAATAGAACATTACAATTGATTTTTATGTTCCATTATACTAAGTAGATAGTATACTGGTGAACTTTGCATGAGTTCCTGACATTTGTCTCAAAACCACAAATGATAAGTATATATACTCTTAATAGTTATGACTTGTTGTTGTTGTTGTTATGTGCCGTCGAGTCGCCTGCGACTCATGACTAGTAATCTTAATATAATTATTAGAAAGCCCTAGTGGTCTAATGGGTAAGGAGCTGTACAGCCAACCCAAAAGCAAGTGGTTCAAACCCACTAACTGCCCTGTAGGAGAAAGATGGGCAATCTTTCTGTGATTTACAGCCTTTGAAGACCCATTGGACAGTGGCCAGCTAGGAGTCATTTCTGACTCGACAGCACTAACAATAATATCATTCTCAAGATTGGATATGTAATATTTCTATAACCTTATTTTAAATTTATTTCGTATATAACTTTTTACTATTAAAGATAATTATTATTACATATAAACTTTTTCTTTTACAAATTTCTAAGGAAGTTATAACCCTGCCTCTATAATACGCATTTTAACTTTTCAGTGTAATTGTATTAGTTTCTTAATTATTGCTCCATATGTGAAATAACACTGTATTTTCATAATGATTTTAAATATATTGCATGAAATCATTAACTGTTCAGCTGAAAACTAAAACATTTATACTACTGCTGTTTTAAACTAATAACATTTTATACCAATTGAGCTATAGTTAGATGAGTACTTAATGGAACAAAGTAAATAAATTTTGGTACCATTCAAAATTAATTGGGAATCTAATCTAGAAAACAGATTTTTATTATTATTATTATTATTATTACATTACTGTAGAATGCTGGCATGCCATCCAATTAAAATATGGAATCATTTGTTTCTTCATTGATTTTCAAGTTTTTTATTTTTGGTTATGAGGTCCCTTCCCCACCTTGCCTGTTTCCTTACCTTTTGGGGGATTATTAGTAATTCTTGTTCATTCTATGCATAGATAATCTATGAACAAGTCTTTGCTTGCTCTGCAGGAATAGGAAGAAGCTAGTGTTTGTTTTATATTCACTTACTTTTTCAAATTAATTACATTTGTGGATCTTTTAGGCATAGACTTTTAAGAAACAATACTGTCATTTCAGCTCCTAAATGAAACTTTGTGTCAAATTTTGAAAACATATGAGAAATCAGAGTTAAAATTTGAAGATAACTTTCTGTAGTATGAACAAGATTTATTAATATCTACCACAAATCATCTGAAAATATTCTCATATTTGCTACCATGATGTCTTGATTGCTTAGATAGCTAATAAAATGGAAAAGATTTAAATGAATATGTATTTTAATTTTTGTCTGTTATGAATTATATTCATTAAATAGACAATTTTGAAAGACTGAGGCTGACAACTTCTGTGCCTCACCATGGAGTCAAAGCATAATTGCGTGGGTTGTCATAAAGTGACATTTTTAATTTATCAACACATTAAAATTGATCTTTGTACATTTGTATCTAAAATTGTATTGTGACTACTTTGAAAACTGTTACACAATAAAATTTGCTTTTTAATTATCTTAGAACTGTTAGCATAAAATAATGGAAGTAATTTACACAATCCGTGTGCTTTCATTCTAGTTTGTGTTTTCTGTTCAACTCATTTTGGTGGTTTCACTTGACTTACTGCTACCAGTGCATTCTTTATATTATGGCTTAGCAGATATTGAAACATGTTTGAAAACAAGCATGTGGCTCCAGTTAACGTTCTGAAAATGCAAGTTTTTCTTTGCATTTGTCCTGTTTCTTTCCCTTTTCACAACTCAAAAAATACATAACATTTACTTAGCATTTACCAAGGAACTTTTTCAGCAGCTGCAAATAGTAACATGTAGCTGACTTCCAAGAGCCCATTTTAGTAATCTGTGCTTTATTTCTCCAATTATCTAATTCTCTCCGCTTTAGTTCAAAACTGTCCATGAAGAAACTTCTAGCTTTGTATTAGTCTCCTACTTTTCTAACAAGCTATTTGTGTGAAATGGCTAGGGTAGTTCCAGGAAAACTATTGCTTTTTGCGTTTTTCTTCTCTGTGTGAAATCTTGAGCTACTTTTATTGACAAATACAAACTTTTTTGCATTCTTAATGATTTAATTTAAAATTTGCTTTGATGAAATGTGTAGATAAAACCTATAGTTACTATAGGTTATTGCTTTCAAAAAGAATTTTAAAAGTGTTTTTTACTCACTATACAGTCTACATAAACCTAATCTACCAAACTAAAATGAATTTATCTTACATATCTAGGTTTCAGACAAAGAAAAGATTGACCAACTTCAAGAAGAACTGCTACGTACTCAGGTAATTTTAATGAGTAAGATAAATCCGAGACTCTCTTTTTCTTATACTCTAATATAAGTTTGATAATATATCAACTAATTTTTTTAACAAAGTAAAATTTAGAGTAGTTGAATGAGAGGATCTTATTATTTTGGGTACAAAAACTAATTAAGAAATAAGGAATAAAAAGGAACCAGGTAAGCGTGGGACTATTTTATTTAAAAGGCACTTTTGTGGCATAGTCCAGAGGGAGTTGTGCTTCTAACCTAAAGGTTAGACTCTCTGGGGATTGGAATCCACTGGTGACTTTGTGGGAGAGAGATGGACCGTGTCCTCTTGTGCGGTTTACAGCCTCTGAAAACCTTTGGGGTCATTTATGAGTTGGTTCCAACTTGACAACAATGAGTTTGTGGACTTTTTTTCTTTTCTTCGTAGAAGAAAGATGTGATGGTCGTAAAAGTCCAGCTCTAGAAATACTCCAAACTTGGAAACCCTGTGGTAGTTCTGCTCTGCCCTACAGGGCTGGCATGAGTTCACATCAGCAACAGTTGAGTTTATTTTGGTACATTTATGTGTTTGGGTTTGTTGTTTATCTGCACAAAGTGATTAATAAGTATTAATCACTGTTGTTGTTCTTCTAATTTTGAAGTACAATTACCTTGGGGGGAAAATATGTTTTCAACATGTTTTACCTTTGTATAAATCTTTGCTCACATTTTGCATTGATAGGTAGATTATTCCTAATTAAAACACTTGAAGGAATTTGGATTGAATCTACCGGAGTTTTAGTTCTGTCTTTACCTTTGCTTTTCAAAAGGTCCAAAGCAGTCACCTTTCCTAAAGATATTTCTGACACTATTTTGAAAAGCTCTTCTCTTAAACGCATTACCCTCAAGTCGAAATCTCACAGCTGATCTTCCAGCAGGTTTTGAGAATTGCACAGAAGGAAGTTACCCACCTGTCTCCCATGGAGCAGCTGATTAGTAACTTTGGAGTTGGGAATTCTCAATTTTTGTGGAACTGCTAACTGAAAGGTTGATGTTTCAAATCCACCGTTCTCTCCCCTGGAGAAAGATAGGCATTCTGCCCCAAAAGACATTTGTTGTCTCAGAAACCTGATAGAGAATGCCTGTGAATTGCAATTGAACTTGGTGGCAGAAGGTTTATATTGTTACTAAATATAAGTGAGCAGGTTGTATAGAAATATGTTAATAATGAAGTCTAGCCTGTGGCTATAGCATACCTTGTAACTCCACATTTGCGTTAAGTTGTACCTTCATTAAGATTTTGGGTGCTGTTGAGTCAGAACTGACCCATAGCTGACCCTCTAGAGGGTTTTCAGAGGCACTAAATCACAATTGAGGAGATTGTCCATTCTTCTCATACAGTCCTGCTAGAGGATTCAAACCTTTGTGATTGCAGCACAATTTCTTAATGACTAGGCCACCAGAGCTCCCTTTTTTGAGGATAGAACTATGATTTCCTATTATTTTTCTTAAAAGGTTTTTAATAACAACCAAAATTTTTTCTGACAAGTCATTACTTTTCATTATAAAAGTTATAAATTGAACATAAATAATGTGCTGTTTGTAGGAAGAAGTAAATACTAGTAGTTTTCTGAACACTGATGTTTAGGTAAAGAATAACAGTGTAAAAACTCTCAGCCTCTTACTGCTGTCAAGTTAGAACCAAACCAAGTCATAGCTGACCGTCCAGTGGGTGTTCCAAGACTGTAAAAAGCATGGAGGAGACTATGGAGTTGCTGGTGGGTTCACATCACCTATCTTTAGGTTGGGAGCACAACTCTTTACTCACGCGACCGCCAGAACTTGCTGCGTGTAAAAACTGGATATTCAGTTTATTTGAGAAGAAAAATGTACAGTCAAGTAACCCATTTGACAGAGTAACCTTTTAAAATCCTGTCCTTAGCTCATTATTTTTAAACTAACATTTTTGGCCATGGAAATGACAACATTTGGAAGTATATGAGCCAAACTGAACTCAGCCAAACTTGTATCAAAATCCTACTTTTCCACCACTTCCTAGCTTCGTGACCTTTGATAGGCTTCCAAACAGCCCTGACCTCAGGTGTCTAATCTATTGGACATCTAACTCCTGGGGTGCTATGAGCACTGAGTTAATGCAGTAAACTCTTAATATAGGACCTGCCACACAATGCATGCACAGATACTGTTAACTAAAGTTATTTTAGATCATTTTAATAAAATCATAGAATATGAATAAAATATTTTTATTGAATAACTCCTTTATAAAAACTCAAAAGTCAATTTAAATTTTCACTTGCTCATATTTCTGTAATTTCATTATAAAGGTAAAATAATTGAAGTGTTGGATTCTGTTAGAAAATTATAATGAATTTCACTATTTGGATAAAGAAATAATGTTCATAATTGAGTTTTATTCTCTTTTTATTGCTTTTTTAAACAGTATTTCATTTTTCATACTCAAGAGATGTGACTTCTTCAGGATTTGGGGAAGATTTTAATTGGATTTAATATGATTTATTAGCCCGTTGTTTTTCTAAATTGTTAATTTTTTTTTCTTATTTCGTTGCAGTTAAAGTACCAGAGAATCTTGGAAAGATTAGAAAAAGAGAACAAAGAATTGAGAAAATTAGTATTACAAAAGGATGACAAAGGCATCCATCATAGAAAGCTTAAGGTATTTTAAATTTACTTTATTCTTTTTGAGAACATTACTCCCCCTTAACAGTATGTGTTTCCTACTGCCAAAGGGGCCCTTTAGAGTAGTGAGAGAAGATCTTCACCCTGAAACCCACAGCGTCCCTTTTCAGCAGGAAGTAGCTAAGAGAATACGCCATCCCCTTTTCCTTATGACTCAGGGTGAAGTCTCTCTCAGGGAGGAGTGATAGGGAATGGCAAAGGACACACTGACAAAGAAGATTAATCAGAACTGGCTTTGACAAGCACTGTGGCATTTGGACAAGAACAAACTGGGAGGAGGGTAGAGAGAATAGTGCAACAATGAATGAGTGGAAGCCCAAAATCTCTGTAAATGTTTATGAAAATTAATAAAATATAATTATAGAAAAATAAATAAATTTAAAAAAACAGTATGTTTTCACTGATACCAGTTTCTAATGAACTGTCAAGTGTGTATTGTTTTCTTTTTTATGGTGATAAAAATTTGTATTTAGAATCAGCCAGCTGGGCTCAGTTTAGAAGATCCCAATTTTGTTGACAACTTCCAAAGCATCATAGTCAAGAGCAAGTCGAACACAGGCCTTTTTCTGTCCATCACACTTAATCAGGGTGTTAACTTTGCTCACATCAATGTCATAGAGCTTCTTCACAGCTTTGATTTGGTGCTTGTTGGCCTTGACATCTACAGTGAACGTAAGTGTCTTTTTATCTTCTATCTTCCTGACTGCCTCAGTGGTCAGGGGAAAGTTGAGGATGGAATCGTGGTCAGGCATGTTTCTCCTGGGCGCTCTTCTGGGGTATTTGGGCTGCATTCAGAGTCTCAGCTTAAGATCTTAGGCCATTGGAAGGTGGGTGACATGCGGATCTTCTTTTCTTTTGGCTGTGAACACCCTTCAGGACTGCCTTATTGGCCTTTAATGCCTTTGCTTTGGCTTCAATTTTGGGAGCGTCACGGCTTCCTTCTTTGCTTTCGGCGCCATCTTCATAGAAAGGCTCAAGTGTGCGTTGTGTCCTTGGTGGAAAGGAGTCACTGGGAATACCTGTTTTAAAGACTCTCCAAACACATAGAGTCTCCACGTTTTAGTATATTATATCTGTTAAAGTCCTTATACTCTTGAATTATTTATTCTGAGGTTATTTTCTCCCTGAAATTTCTAGTTTATTTTTATTTTTGCAACCATAAAATAGGGAAAACCATCATTGCTTCACTTGTGTGCCCATGTTCTTGTGTTGTTTTTAAGGAGACATTTTCCTCCAAAAGGTTTCTTAGATATTTTAAAGGATGGGCGGGGCGGTGGGGGGTGGTGGTGGACGAAATGCTTGCTGGTATTGTTGATTAACCTTATCAGTAAAGTAAATTTGCTTCTGCACTAAGCCAGACATATGTGCTGAATCAAACTGAAGGACTTCTGTTATCCTTATTATAATTATAGAGCATCTATGCACAGCACAACCATGGCATGTACTTTCTATTGCCGAGGGTAAAGTTCTGGTTTACCTTGAGGAACGTAATAGTTGTTACCCTGAATGATTATTACAGGAAAAATAGTTATGTTTATACTGATAGGAAACAAATGAGAAAAGTTATTTCCAAGTATTAATATGTTAAGAGTTTATACCTTAGCAAGATCATTTTGTGTAGAAAAAATAGTAATGACTTTTTAAGATGAATGTTGTGTTACTTGCCTTCTATTTAATTATTTTTTTATAGTAATAGATAAATAGAATCTTAGGCTTTCATTTTGTTCCTACCATGGCATTAAAACTTAAAATCCCTGATCCATAATAATTAAATGCCTGACGATAATTCGCACCGTCCACCCAGCCTATTTGTTCATTCATTCATTAGGTACTTACTTGAAGTTTCTTAGGTGCAAAGCTCATGATCTAGCTAATACAGAGAGAAACAGTGGAGGAAGACTGATTTTTATAATCTGCCCCATGTGTTCTCGTATGTTAGCCTGACTTGTGCAACAGTGTGTTTTATTTTTATCTTTGAACTTCTCTGTTGTTGTTGTTAGGTGCCGTCGAGTCGTTTGTGACTCATAGCGACCCTATGTACAATAGCCCTAAACCCTGCTCTATCCTGTGCCAGTCAATCTGCCTCTGACACACCCATCCCGATTACCCCAGTCACTGAATCAATCCACCTCATAGAGGGTCTTCCCCTCCTGCGCTGTCCTTCCACCCTACCAAGCATGATGGCCCTCTCCAAGGACTTTCCTTACAACATGTCCAAAGTATGTCAGACGAAGCCCTAGAATCCTTGCCTCCAAGGAGTAGCCCAGTTTAACCCTCTCTAGGATGAATCTGTTTGTTTTCTTGACAGTACAGGGTATGTTCAATGCTCTCTAGCGACCATATTAACAATGGATCTGAACCTTAATCCTAACCTGTTCCATGCTTACCATCTCCAACACTTGAGCCCATTATTACAGTCACCATGTGAGTTCATCTTTTCAGAGAGCTTCCTCTCTTATGGTGACCCTTGAACTTTTCAAGCCTCATTGCCTTCTCCAAGGACTGGTCACTTCTAGCCGACCCCTTCTTTGGCCTTCTTGTTAATGGCCTTCTGTTGGGCATTTAAATTAGCCAGTCAGAATTAACTAAATTTTCTTTTTGTCATTTAATTAAGAGTCTAAGAAATCCTAATGTCCTTTATTAAATCAGAATGTCTCTAATTATGGGTAAACTGTGTAAGAAAAGTAGAACTTTAGTCTGCAGCAAGAACTACAGGGTTTATAAAACCTTAATTTATCAGATTATTTTCTCTTGATACAGTTATATCTCTGCTTTAAGGGTTGTTTTCTTTTTAATTTTGCAGAAATCTCTAATTGACATGTATTCTGAAGTACTTGATGTTCTGTCTGATTATGATGCCAGTTATAATACCCAAGATCATCTGCCACGAGTAAGTAAGACAGCTTGCCTATGAGCAAAAAAAATGCTTTACGTTCTCAAAATACAAACATACATATATGATCTACATCATTTTATTCATGTGTTTCAGTTGATGTTTTAAATACTAAATGTTTGACTATAGCTCTTTATTTTGATCTTTTTCTTTCCCAGTATTTATCTGTTGCAGAAAAGGACTATCAAATACTTGGTATTATGTGCTTGACAGTATATTAAATTAATGCATGAAAGTTAACCTTATAGAATTGAAAATATGTTTTCTTAAATATAAATTAGCTATTTAAGGGATTTGTGGATTAGTAATCTGGTTTTAAAATTGTCGTTCAAATGAATTCCAAGTAGTTATTTAGATAATCTTGACTATTAATAATGGATCCAGTTGATATGTTACTGATTGTATTCTCAGTCTGCCTATTAACCATTATTTTTTCACTAATATGACCCGGCAGAGAGAACAATATCACTACAAAAAGAATGGGAATCACAGAGCATTTGATTATGCTTATGTGAAACCTATACTTGGACCAGGAGGCAGTCATCAGAACAGATCAAGGGAACACTGCATTGTTCAAAATTTGGAAGAGTGTACGCCAGAGATGTGTTCTGTCTCCATACCTTTTCAATCTATGTGCAGAACAGATCATCCAGAAGGCTGGGTTGTATCAGGAGGAATATGGCATCAATTGGAAGAAGACTCATCAACAGCATGTGTTATGCAAATGACACAACCCTGCTTGCTGAAGGTGAGGAGCTGAAGTGCTTCCTGCAGAAGGCCAAGGACTGCAGCCTTCACTATGGATTGAAGCTCAACATCAAGAAAACAAAGATTCGTACCACTGGGCCGATAGGCAGCATTATGATAGATGGTGAAGAGATTGAGATTGTTTTGGGTTTTTTTCCTTCTTCCACAGGAGATTGAGATTGTTGACACTTTAGTTTGCTTGACTCCACAATCAACACTCTAGGTACCAGCAGCCAGGAAATCAAGAGATGAATTGCATTGGAAAAGGTGGCTGTCAGGCAGCTCTCCAGAGTACTGAAGAGCAGTGACGTCAGGCTGGAGACTAAGGTGCTCCTGATGGAGGCCATAGTCTTGACAGTTGCTTGCTGTGCATCAGAGAGCTGGACAATGACTAGGGCTGATAGGGAATTGATGCCTTTGAGCTGTGGTGCTGGAGATAATTGTTGAATTCATGTCACGGATTGCCAGAGAACAAACAGGTTCGTCCTAGATAGGGTGAAGCCAGGCAGCTCCTTAGAGGCAAGTATTCTGAAGCTTTATCTGAATTCTTTAGACATGTTGCAAGGACTGGTACTTTAAGAGGGACATAATTCTTAGAAGGGTGGAAGGATTAAGAAAGAGAAGGAGGCCCTCGATGAAATGGATTGATACAGTTACTGGGGTAATGAGGGTAGGTGTATCAGAGACAGTAAAATTGGTACAGGATAGAGCAGGTTTCAGGGCTCTTGTACATAGGGTCTCTATGAGTCTCAATTGACTCGATGACACATAACAACAACTAATTACACACTAGCAAAATCCTGCTGAAGATCATACCAAAATGACTGGAACAGTATATTGACAGAGAACTACCAGAAATAAAAGCTGGGTTTAGAAGAGGTGGTGACACTAGAGACATTATTGCTAATGTCAGATGATCTTGGCAGAAAACAGGATACCTGAGGAATGTCTGTCTGTTTCATTGACTGTGCAAAGGCATTTAACTGTCTGGATCACAACAAACTGAGGCTAGCCTTAAGGAAAATGGGAATCTGAGAACACTTGATTGTGCTTATACAAAACCAATGCTTGGACCAGGAAGCAGTCCTCAGAACTGAGCAGGGAAACACTGCATGTTTCAAAATCAGGAAAGGTGTGTGTCAGGGCTGCATCCTGTCTCCATACCTATTCAGTCTATATGCAGAACAGATCACTCATGAAGCGGGGCTTTATGAGGATGAAGGTGGCATCAGGATTGGAGATAGACTCATCAACAACCTCCGTTATGCAGATGACATCATCCTGCTTGCTGAAACTGAGAAGGACCTGAAGGGCTTGCTGCAGAAGGTCAAGGACTGCAGCCTTAAATATGGATTGAAGCTCAACATCAAGAACACAAAGATTCTCACCACTGGCCTAATTGGCAGTACCATGAGAGATGGAAAAAAGATTGCAGTTGTTAACAATTACAGCTTCCTCAGCTTCACAATCAACACTCTTGGTACCAGCAATCAGGAAATAAAGAGGAATTGCATTGGGAAAATCCGCTGTTAGGGACCTCTCCAGAGTGCTGAAAAGCAACTATGTCAGTCTAGAGACTAAAGTGCACCTAATCCAGCCCATGGTCTTCGCAGTTACTTGCTATGCATTAGAGATCTGGACAATGACTAAGATTGACAGAAGAATTGATGCCTTCGAGTTGTGCTGGAAAAGAGTTTTGAACATACCATGGACCACCAAGAAAATAAGTATATCTTGGAGAGGGTGAATCCAAGTTTCTCCTTGGAGGGTAGGATTTTGAAGCTCCACGTCACTTTGGTCACGTGGCCAGGCCCTTGGAGAAGGACATCATGCTTGGGAGCGTGGATGGACAGCGCAGGAGGGGGAGACCCCAGATGAGCTAGATTGAAACAGTGACTGGGCCAATGGGGGGTTGGTGTGTTGGAATTAGTGAAGTGGAACTGGTTCAGGACAGGGCAGTGTTCAGAGCTGCTGTACATAGGGTCGCTTTTGATCACAGGCGACTCGACTGCACATAACAACAATATTTTTAAAATCATTTAACTGTTGTTACCATGAGCTGAACCTGTAGCAGGTTTGCGGAGGCTGTAAATCACATGGGAAGAGATTGTCAATGTTTCTCCTAAGGAGCAGCTGGGGAATGCATGCAGCCTGCCTTTGGTTTGACAGCACAACTCTTTATCCACTCGTCTACAGAGTGCTCTTTAACTGTAGATATTTTTAAAAACTAAATAAAATGTCTGAGAGCAATGTTCTACATTTACTGAAATGTAATTTTGTGTCAGAAACAATGAGTTGGCTCAGGATTGAGCTGGGTTCAGAGCTTTTGTACATACAGTTGCTATGAGTCCCAGGCAACTCAACAGCACATAAATATAGCAGTAACTTTGTGTCAAAAATGAGAATGAATGTTCTTTCCTTCTGCTTAGGTGGTTGTGGTTGGAGATCAAAGTGCTGGAAAAACTAGTGTATTGGAAATGATTGCCCAAGCACGAATATTCCCTCGAGGCTCTGGCGAGATGATGACACGCTCTCCAGTGAAGGTAAGGAAATGACCATAAATTAAGTTCTTCAAGAAAATAATCACTTCAGTGATACTAGTTCATTTGTGAAGAGCTTTAACTGAATAAAGAGTCGATAAAGTAGCATTTGGAATCATTCTAGAGTAGACATCAATAGCATGGCTTGAGGCCATTATGGTAGGAGATGGATGAGTGAGGAGAGAGTGGTGAGCAGAGAGGCTAGAACTGTAGTAGGGACTAGGCTAGACTCAGGCTTATGACCTACAGATTTATTCTATGTTATGTATAAATGAGAGGCTGAGATAAAGAATGAGTACAGTGAAAGTGGAGAAAGTACTTATGGATTATTTTGGATTTTATTGTTAAAAAAACAACAGAGAAATGGATCTGTGGTGGCTAAAATATATTGGATGGAGTGAAAATTTTTACAGCTATTTAAATGCTGGTTTTAATGATTCAGTGGAAAAAAGAAAAGATGATTCAAGATAAAGGGAACAATTATAGCAGCAAAATTATTGAGATTAAAGAAGTTGAAAGTCATAGTATGAGTTGGGTGTATAAACCACAACCCCACTGCTGTCAACTTGATTGCAGCTGGTAATGATCCTCCACCAGGGGTTTCTGAGGCTGTAAATGTTTGGTGTTTGGTGTTTTGTTTTGGTTTTAATACTGATTTTTTACAGAGTTCTAATACATTGTTTTTCACACAAGATTCTTCCCATTTTCTTCACTCCCCCACCCATCGAGTTGTGCAATCCTATGATGAACATACCTCCTCCAAAATCTTCACCCCTCTGCTTCCACCCCCTTCCTTAGATCCTCATACTCATTCTACAATAATGGTTTTATACAGTATTTGTCCTTGTGAGACTGAGTTAGTTCACGCAGCATAATCCTCTTCAGTCCCTCCCAAGTTAGATAGTGTTCAAAATGATTGCTCCTGTGTGCTGTGTAGTATTCTATTGTGTGAATGTACCACAACTTCTCAATCCATTCATTTGTGGTTGGACATCTGGGCTGTTTCCATGTTTTTTCTTGTGGTATATTCCAAGCAATGGAATAGCAGAGTCATATGAAATTTCTGTGTTCAGCTTTTTGAGGAAATACCAAACTGCCTTCCAGAGTGATTGTGTACAATCCCACCAGTAATGAATAAGAGTTCCTAGCTTGTTGAGGCTATAAATTTTTTTAAGAGGAGATTACTTATCTTTCTTCAGCGGAGCTGCTCATCTATTTGAACCTCTGAGTTAGTAGAAAGGCAGGCTCTGCACTGTACCTCAGAGCTCCTTGTCTGTATACAAAAGCATGCCAGACTGCTAAAGGTAGTGTACTTCAGTGAGGAAAACAGAGATCTTTATTTATCGTAATGAAAGATTTGTTCTATTAAATGAAGATAGACACTTAACCAGCAACAGTAGCAAAATTCAACAGGGCAGCAAACAACAAAGACTGGCGAGGTTATGAAGAAATTAGAACCCTTCTAAACTGCTGGTGGGAATGTAAAATGTTATAGCCACTCTGGAAAGTGTTCTGACACTTTCTCAAAAAGAAGGAAATACTTGCATTAAAATCATGATTGAAGAAAAGAATGGGAAAAGACAAGGTGGAACTGGAAATACCATTTGACCCAGCAATTCCACTACTGAGAATATACCCTAAAGAAACCTGAGCCTATGACTTAAACAGATGAATGCACAGCTGTGCTTTTGCTATGTTATTCACAATAGCGAAGAGATGGAAGCAACTTAGGTGTCTATGAACAAACGAATGGATAGAAAAACTATGGTACATTCACACAAAGGAATATTATGCAGCATCGAAAAACAGTGAACTTATAAAATTTTACACATCATGGGAAGCCTGGAGGACATTATGCTGAGTGAAACATCTCGGTCACAAAAGGACAAATACTGCGTAACACAGCTCTTATAAAAAGTGTTATGCGTGTAGAACCAGCCAGATGTTAAGATGCGTTTGAGAAAGTGATTCTGACCCAGTGAGTGGAAAATGAAGGAGCTGGGGATGTGGATACCTAACAAAGAAGATAACTAGTGCAAACTCCTGAGGTAGTTGAGTGTACTAGGTAATTAGGTCACAGAGCTAAAGGGTTCATAGGAAGGTCATGTATTAGAGTTTGTAAGCCATTATCTATTGGGTTTTTATAGAGAGTAAAGTGGGAACTTAATGTAAGATTTTGAGCAGAGTAACAAGGCTCTGTTAGAAAACCAAAAGACAAGAATATGATTGGCCTTTTTCAAGTTGAAAAATATGGAAGAAAACAATGTTAAACGTTGAGTTGCAATATCGAACATTTCTATGGGCAAAATATTGAGCATCTTCAGTGGGTAGAATATTGAGTAACAACAAAATGGAAAGAATACAATTATTATGGAAAAAAAAATAATAATTAGTTGCCACTCAGCCATTTAAAGAAGTAGCATATGATTAAGAGCTGATGATATTGAAGGAAAAAATCTGAGCTTCATTGAGGCAAAAAAAACCTCCAAGGCTTCAAGAATTGACATTATCAGTTGAGATGCTTCAACATTGAGATGCATCTCTGGAAATTCAGTTATTAAAGTCTGTGAATTCTAATCTATGGTTAAAACCATTTTCCCTCTGACACCCTAGACTTTCCACATTGCTCCCTTATGTCCATATATGTTTTTCCTAGTGTATACGCATTGCTGTTGTGTCTGTTCTGACCATAAAGACCCTAGTGAACAAAGCAGAACTGCCCCATAGAGTTTCCAGGGCTGTGAAATCTTTGTGGAAACAGACAACCTCATCTTTGTCCTGTGACACCGTTGATGGATTTGAACCTGTGACCTTGTAGTTAACAGCATTGTGCCTGCAGGGCTCTTCTCAGTATATCTCATCTCTCACTCTCTCACTTCACATTCACACAATTCAGTCAGTCTTTCTGTGTGCTGCTGGTGGGTTCAAACTGCCAGAGAGGAGCCACCTTCAGGTTACCAGTGCAGTTCTCCAGCCTAGGTCACCAGCACTTTCAGTGGACAGTTAGGTTTGAAGTAGGGACCATTCAGTATGTTATGCCCTTCCCATCTACCATGTAGTTGGTTTGTAATAAATACATATTTCACTTTTTTATTTTTTTTAATCCAGTAAATTAATTTTTAATGTTAAGATGAAAGATTTTCTTTTCTATTATTTTTGTTTGTTTCACATGTTAGAATGGTGATTTTTTTTTTCCCTTCTTTTTTTTAACAATACCTTGAATACCATTGACTAGTAAGGGAAAAGGCAGCAAATCTGTTAAGTTTTAGAAGATATAAAATAGGTATTTTTTTCCAGTAGCCACTGATCTTGTTGGGAAAAATCACAGCACATAAAAGGTATATGAACTGTCCAGATAAAAGAATTGTCATCTCGGTGCCATCATGTGGACATTTCCGGGGATGCTTCTTCCCTAGAATGGATGCTGGGCAGCACAGTGCTTATTGTATATGGACCGTGTACATGCTATGAGAATGGGCCATTGATAGAAATGCACCATTGTCTGTTCATTTCAGGTAACCCTCAGTGAAGGTCCTCACCACGTGGCCTTGTTTAAAGATAGTTCTCGGGAGTTTGATCTAACCAAAGAGGAAGATGTAAGTAGACGAGCATAATGGAGTGGACTGGGAGGAGGGAATTGAATAACAATGAAAGAATTTTTTTTTTCTTTTACTTTTCAAAGAGAAAAGTCAATTGGAGGGGAGGGGTGGGCAGGGAGAAAAGTGCAGCAATGAATGAATGGAAATTTAAACAAACAAACAAAAAAACCACCAAAAATGTCTTTTAGACACGTGCCTCTTAATGGTCTCTGTGCAACTTTGAAAATGGAATAAACTAAATAAATAGCCAATATTTATGAAGTAAAGATTCTCTTAGAATTTTGTTGGTTTTCCTTTATAGCTTGCAGCATTGAGACATGAGATAGAAATCCGAATGAGGAAAAACGTGAAAGAAGGCTGTACAGTTAGTCCTGAGGTAAGGGTTGCAGTTCATCGCAGTGATTTTTCACATATAAGCAGTGTGTGTACTTAAAGAACAAAATCATAATATTGGTACTGATGTTTAAATTGCAGCAAACCCAAGATACTTTTTTGTTTTTTAATATTCCAGATAATGGTTTATTAAAAGATTAGTATAGTTTTAAGGTAATTGGATTGTGTATAATTTTCCTTTCTTCATATTCCCCCCCAAGGTAATTTTTTGGAATGATTACTTTTAGGATTAGAAAATGCTCTTTTATATACTCTAAATGGATGGGATAGAGACATTTCAGAATATATTTTACCAGAAAACTGTGAACACTACTATGCCCACATTTATATTGCTTTTTTGTTTCTGAATAGACCATATCCCTAAATGTGAAAGGCCCTGGATTACAGAGGATGGTGCTTGTTGACTTACCTGGTGTGATTAATGTAAGTAGTTTACAAACAGTTATTTCATTTTATTCTTATTGTTGAAAACATTCTTAATGATGTTTAACCCTTTTCTTCAAGACTGTGACATCAGGTATGGCTCCTGACACAAAGGAAACTATATTCAGTATCAGCAAAGCTTACATGCAGAATCCTAATGCCATCATCCTGTGTATCCAAGGTAACTCTATCAGGAGTTTTTATTTTAAAATTTTCATGTTATTATTATGTTGAAAACAATTTTCAGAAGCTTTCCTCAATACAGTTGTATGTTTAATGTATTAATTGCCATACCTTGTAGTAATGGTGCCTTGGATAGATCCTGAAAAGTCATGGCACTCATGTCATTCTGATTGCCTAGCTTTTGAGCCTCTTTCACTCATCCTCCGAGGCTGACTTCGAATTTTAGGAATGTTTGAGTTCAAGGCTAATTTGAAAAGACAAGGCATATGTATCCATAACTGACTTGGACTGTACTACTATAGTCTGACATTAGTAAATATAATTAATGATATGTGATGTGTCAGATGCAATACTGCTTACCCATGGTGAACAGTGTTTGGTGGAGCTTCCCGATTAAAATAAGCTTGGAAGCAGGAGTGGCATCCACTTCAGAAATGGCTTTTCTCCAGAAACTCTATGAACAGTGCTCAGGTCTTTTCGTTCATAGGGTTACTATGAGTCATCTGTGACTTGATGACACCTAATAACAACAACAATGTGACAATGACAATATTACATGTCCCCACTGCAACAGATACCACAATAAAAATTATTCATAGATTTCCGCCTTTATCAATCTAGAGTTTTCGCTAAGTAAGCATGTTAATTAACATAGAATATACTTGTGTTTTTTGCCTTTTCTAATTCATTTTATTCACACGTGGAATTGAAATTGGTATTATTTCAGTAGACATCTTTGAGGTTTCACTGGCTAAACTATCTTTCTGTAACCAAGGTAAATGTGATAGAACATTTTTAATGTATATACCAGGCTGTAACTGGTTAAGTTGCAAAAAACCACTTTGCGGTTATTACAGTGTCAATATTTATTTTATTTTCAGATGGTTCTGTGGATGCTGAACGCAGTATTGTAACAGATTTGGTCAGTCAAATGGATCCTCATGGAAGAAGGACAATATTTGTTTTGACCAAAGTAGACCTAGCAGAGAAAAATGTGGCTAGTCCAAGCAGGGTGAGGGCAAGCTTTTTATTTGACATTCAATTGCTGCGATTTCCAGAAAGTGTCATTAAGGGGGGGAACTAAATGTAAAAAGAGAGGGACCATGAAATGCACACACAAAAACCTCTGGGGGCTTCTTTATCAGAAAGCAGTAGTGAGAGTTTTCTTGTTTCTATTGAAGTGCTGGGAGGTTACCTAAGTACAATTTTAGGACATGAATAAATAAGTGTCCATGATTGTAGTTTATTTACTCTCCAGATTTGTAACTGCAAATGCTGCTTGCACTACACTAGGCAGAGATTGTGTGGACGACACAGGGTTGGGCAGGGTTTCATTCTCTTGTACAAGTTGAAGCCAAGATCAGCAGCACCTAACTGTTTCATTTAGATCATTTTAGATGTGGACATAGACTCATGAACTTCATCCTGGTACTTGTGTTTTTTAGTATTTGATTCTGAGATGTTATTTTTAGTTGATGTTTATAAATTAATGCACAATTAGTGACATTATATGTTGCTTTCAAATACCCCTTACCATTTTCTCTTTTATTTATTTATTTATTTTAAATTTGCTCATTTATAGACAAATTTATCTCTCTTCATTCACCAAAAGAGTATATTGCAAAATTTTATATAGAAAAGGCATTGGATGGGGCGTTAGGCTTTCTCCTCCATGCTTTTGTACCAGTTAGCTTTGAGAATTTGACAGATTTTGTGACTTGTCTGAATATAGTTGATGCAGCATCCATCCCATTAGTCTAGTTGGTCTCGAAGATCTTTTTCATTTCTGAGCATCCTAAACATATTGTTTCCTAAATTAGTGAATCATACTTGTGAAATGATTTCATTGAAACCCCTTATAAGACTATTGCTCCTTCCCTTCCACCTCTGCCCCAACAAAGAGTCTTGACTTGACATACAACTTCTGTTTAATTACAAGGATTAATTGTTTTGTTAAAACAATTAAGATTAAGAATACAGAATTAAGATTGGGTACAGAATTCTAGTCATATTTCTTAGCTTAAAATAATTTATTATGGGAGCTCTGGTGGCCTAGTGGCAAGAAGCTGTGCTGCAATCCCTAAGGCATGTGGTTCGAATCCACCAGATGCTCCGCTGGATAAGGAGGGGCAATCACCTCCTGTGCCAGTTGGATCCAATTCAGCAGTTCACACAATTAAAAAAAAAAAAATTAAATTATTTGTGAACTGTATTATCTTGGGGGAGTTATTTAGCTTTTCAGTCCTTTTTCTTCCTCATCTGGAAGAAATGACGGTATCATGATTATCTTACATATTGTATTGGCATGTAAATGGGCTGTTATCTAATATTATATTATCCCCATAGAACAGCAGTTTCAGGCTGTAAGTACCCCATCCCTGATACTGCTTCTTAAAATTTCCCTCTTTCCTGACTTAAACTTTGAGGGACAGTGGTTCATCGGTGTCCCAGGACCATCCTAAGGTTGAGTGATTCTATATAAGGACTTCATAACTCAGTGGAGAGTCATATTCATAGCTAAATTTTACTACAGTTAAAGAATACAAAGCTAAATCACAAAAGGATAAGAGGCATGAGGTCAAGTCTGGTTGGAAGAAAGCAGGCACAAGATTGTAAGAGTTCTCTGCTAGTTGAGATGTTCAGGACTTGCTTACTCCTCCAGCAACATGCGCCTCAGTGTCAAGGTTTTTATTGGGGGTTGGTTGTGTAGGCAGCTTCATGGATCAGAATTCCAGACTTCTAAGGAAACGTAGGTGCTCAGCATAAACCACATTGCTTGCGTAATGAGCCTCTCTTCTTTAGGTAAAGTTTTAGGTCGGTTTAGGAAACTGCTAACTAGTCAAGTTCCTAGGCACTAAACAAGGACCTTCTGTGTTAATTCTTTCCATTTATCCTCCATGACCTTCATTGTGCCTTCCTTATAGATTAAGGCCTGCTAGATAGCATTGTGAGTTCTAATGTATAAAGATGCATATTCCTATGGCTACCTTCCTATCTTTTTTCATTCCTTTTATTTCTTTCTCCTCTAAGATAGTGAGTTTACATTTCTTCAAAGTTCATAAGCCACTTATATCAGTTTTGGTTTTTATTCCTAAGATTCCAGCAATAGTTTAGGGATGTAATTTATCTTAGAGGAGGCATTCTTAATCAGTATTAATCTGAACAACTTTTTTTACATTTTACACAAATGATAGATTGGGAGCTAATAAGTGGATAACAATGCTGAGTAGCTCTATTATCTTAGATAATCCTTTTAGATAATCTTTGTTATTTTGAAAAAAATTAGGTAGTTAACTTGGGCCACAGGAAGTGGCAATACAGGAATTCAGTTTTTTGATCCCAAAGCAAGTCTGAGTTAAGATTTTATATGTATGTAAAATAATAATAATAATAATAATAATGTATCTTTCAATATAGTAAAACATAAATGTTTTTCTTTAAATACGAATTGAAATATGTTTTATATACTTCTGTACAACTCTGTATGTTTTACTGAGCACGTATGTGTCCAGGGTTATTAAATCTTGCTTTCAAATAGTATAAATTTGCTTTTAAAAGTTATTGAAGCCTACATCTTACATTATTTTCCCTACTTTTTAAAATAGATTCAACAGATAATTGAAGGAAAGCTCTTCCCAATGAAAGCTCTAGGTTATTTTGCTGTTGTAACAGGAAAAGGTATGCAAAAATGCATTGAGATTTTCTTTTTTTAGTTTTATTGTTTTCAAATAATAAAGGTTCGTTTTCTTAATGAAAATGTGGCTATCATCTTTCCCTAGGAAACAGCTCTGAAAGCATTGAGGCTATAAGAGAATATGAAGAAGAATTTTTCCAGAATTCAAAACTCTTAAAGTAAGCATCTGGTTTTAATATTTAACAATTTACAATAAGAGCACACCTTAAAAGAAACAATATTCACTTAAAATTCCTGTTTTAAAGCTGTTAGTTTAATAATTAATTCTTTAATCTCCACAAAGTAGTGATCTCGACCAGTTAGCAAGTCCTTAAGGTACTGTAACCGAATTAGGAACAGTTTATCACAGGGGCAGTACTCATTCATGTTGGCAAAAGGATTGCCGCCGAGAGATAACGTAGACATTTCTTGAGTTTTTACTTACAAAAAAATCTAGGTAATAATTGAACACCTAACTTTTTAAGTACGATGTGGCACTTTTTAGTACTGGGGAAAGTTGGAGTGAGTGGGGAGTCAAAGAGGTATTTGTAAAGAAAATGTAGTATTGGTAGAAAAGGTAAAAGAGCTAACAGGTAATTGCATTGTATTAAAACTCTGTGTAGACAGTTAATTGGACTAGAAAGTGCGTTTACCTGTCGATTAGTACACTAAATCCGAATAGTTGTTGTGAACTGGAGAGTCGTATATTATCTGTTAGGAATGGAGCTGGTAAGAATGTAGAACTGTGCTTTCCAGTGTGGTTTAGCCCCATGTAGGTGTTTAAATTTGTTATAATGGAGTAAAACTACAAAATCAATTCCTTAGACTAACTAGCCATAGATAATGTGTAGATAATCAGGTACCAGGTTGGACTGCACAAACTTGGGATATTTTCTTCATCACAGGAAGTTCTTTTGGACAGCTTTGAAGTGTTTAGGTGGCTGTTCTGATCGTAACACACATTCTTAGACCATTTGAAATGACTAGGTCTTGGGGGTTTTTTAATATATAGGACAAGCATGCTGAAGGCACACCAGGTAACGACAAGAAATTTAAGCCTTGCTGTATCAGATTGCTTTTGGAAAATGGTACGAGAGTCAGTTGAACAACAGGCTGATAGTTTCAAAGGTAAGTCAGATTTTTAAAAACACACAGGTTTTTAATATTTTATATGCCAGCAATCTGGTGCATAATCTGTCAGATTCTTTACTCTGTCACATGACACTGTGTCACTGAATACTATTGATAGGAAAAGAAAGAAGTATAAATCTTCAGTGGTTATTCAAGCACAGGATTTTTTTTATTTCACAACACTGCTCACAGAACATTGCAGAAGGTAGATTAGGAAAACTTACAGTAGTGTTTAGTAGGAAGAAGGACTTTATGAAACTAAAAAATAATAGATTTCCTCCATTAGTGGGAGGAGGAATGATTGGTCGGAAACTGAGCCGTTGTTCAGTTACCTGCATCCCACACTTTCCTGCTGTATGTTTTTGCTTCGATGGTTCCTTCTTCCCTTTTCTTGTTTGGGAAACCTACTGTTTATTGCCCAATGACCTTATAAGTATTATTATTAGTATTTGCATTTTACCAGATTAGAAACAGGCACAGAATAACTTCCACAAGTAACTTTCCTGCGGCCACATAAATAATAGATCCAAAGTATGACTCTTAGTAGTGGTACAGCTCTTTATTTTTTTGTTTTGTTTGTGCTGAAACCTGGAAATGAAGTGGTGCAACACTTGAATCCAGTTTCTTAGCTACATGGACTGCCTGAATGAAATATTTTGTGATAAAAAATGAAGGCATTAGAATTAAAGAGATTGGAAAGCTGTTGAAATAATGAAATTAAGAGTGTAGAGAGCCTAGAATATTTTAAATATATGCACATAGAAATTCAGGTAACACGGAAGATGTGTGGGGTAGCCTTTACCATTATAGCTGGGGGGGGAAAGATCATTAAAATTTTAATGTTCCTTCTTCTTTAGCAACACGCTTCAACCTTGAAACTGAGTGGAAGAACAACTACCCTCGCCTGCGAGAACTCGACCGGGTAATATTTGTGGACCTCATTTATTTGTCTGTCTCTTAACCTGTGTCCTTACATTGATAAAAGAAATTTATTAAGTGCAATAGCTTGGGTTTGACCATGACCACCAATTTAGAGCTGCATGAATACAGCTCCCAAAGCCATTATTAACTCTTCTATCTAATTTGTTTATCATATGTTGTTGTTGTTGTTGTTGTTTAATGCCGTCGAGTCGTAGACGACTCATAGCGACCCTATGAACGAACAGCCTGAGCACTGTTCATACATAAAGTTTCCGGAGGCAAGCCATTTTGGAAGTGGATGCCGCTCCTGCTTCCAGGCTTGATTTAGTCGGGAAGCTCCAGCCAACACTGTCCACCATGGGTGCCCATTACCACGATTGGCACATCACTGTCACAGGCTTCAGCATCACAACAACCACGAGTTACCTCTGTACAGCAATGCACAGACCAGTGCTATACCACCTAGAAGAATGTTTGACAGGAAGACAATTTGAACCTGGCCGAGGGCCACAGATGACAATCACCCACCTTCGGCTTGGTAGCACAGCTTCCTTTCACTAGGCCAACGTAGCTCTCTCTTGGTCGTCGTCATTGTTATTGTTGTTTAATGCCGTCGAGTCGTAGACGACTCATAGCGACCCTATGAACGAACAGCCTGAGCACTGTTCGTACATAAAGTTTCCGGAGGCAAGCCATTTAGAGCATTGAAAAATAATTAAATATCATAGTAGAGTAAAACCTTCTGAGATGATAAAGAGTATTCTTTAAGAATCTTACAGAATTAATATATTTGTATCATTTAAGACACTTTTAATAATAAATAAATTTTACGTTTTCAACCTTTATTACTAAGGCCTGTAATTTAGTAGAAATAAAATACTATTGATAGTATTATAGCAATATATGAAAGTATAATGTCTATGAATGTTATATGTTAAAAGCATTTAACATCAACTAAGGACAGTAGACAGTTTGAGTCAGTTCCTTTGCATTTATCTGAATATTCAGTCTCACTCATTGCCATTGAGGCAGAAGCAGCTCATAGCTGGCTCTGGAGTGGGTCTCTGAAGCCGTGATTCGCACAGGAGATTGCTCATCTTTCTTCGGAGGAGCCACTTGTGGATTTGAACCACCAGACAGGCGCCACCTCCAGTTTCACTGTGCTGCTCTGTACAGACAGTGCCACTGGAGTGGGTCTCTGAAGCTGTGATTCACACAGGAGATTGCTCATCTTTCTTCCAGGGAGCCACTTGTGGATTTGAACCACCAGACAGGCGCCGCCTCCGGTTTCACTGTGCTGCTCTGTACGGACAGTGCCACCAGAGCTGTCTGTTTGTATGGTGTTCTTGAAAGGAGAAGAGAAGAGCGTTCCTTGCTGTCCATGCTTCAGACCTGAACTCAGCCTACTGACCTGTCAAAGACCTTCTTTTTAGTTATCTTTGAAAAGTATGGCAGGGTAAACTTACTATCTTATGGAAATCTTACTTCTATCTGTATTTTATAGAATGAACTCTTTGAAAAAGCTAAAAATGAAATCCTTGATGAAGTTATCAGTCTGAGCCAAGTTACGCCAAAGCATTGGTGAGTAATGACTTTGATATCAATCTCTGATTAGCAAAAGCTACTTATATTAAAGTATAAAAACTCAGAGGCACACTAATTGACTGTTGCATATACTTATCCTTTAAAAGATTTCATACATCAGCAAGAATGTCAGCGTATGTCCTTTTACAAAATCTAACCACTACTGTAGTCTAACCAATAGAATTCCTTTAAGAATGTTTTTCTCTTGCTCCATTTAAATCTTGATGTATGAATGGATTTTCTTTACCTAATAATGAATTCATGCTTGTGATTTTTAACATATTTTATGTAAAATTTAATTAAATTGTGCGTTAGGTAAAATTTTTTGTACATAAAAAAAAAAACAAACTTGGAAGGGACTGGGGAGTATTATGCCAAGTGAACTAACTCAGTCCCACAAGGACAAATACTGTATAAAACCATTAGTGTAGAATGAGTATCCAAGGGGGGGTGGGGGAGGATGGAAGCAGAGCAATGGTGTCTCTCTGGAGACTAAGGTGTGTCTGATACAGGCTATGGTCTTCGCAATCACTTGTTATGCATCAGAGAGTTGGACAATGACCAAGGAGGATAGAAGGAGAATTGATGCCTTTGAGCTGTGGTACTGGAGAAGAGTATTGAGAATACCATGGACTGCTAGGAAAACAAACAGATTTGTCCTGGAAAGGGTTAAACCGGGTGGCTCCTTGGAGGCAAGGATTCTGAGGCTCCATCTAACATACTTTGGACATGTGAGGAGGGACCGGTCCTTGGAGAGGGATATCATGCTTGGAAGGGTGGAGGGACAGCGCAGGAGAGGAAGGCCCTCTATGAGGTCGATTGATTCAGTGACTGGGATAATTGGGATGGGAGTGTCAGAGGCAGTGCGATTGGCACAGGACAGAGCAGAGTTTAGGGCTGCTGTACATAGGGTCGCTATGAGTCGCAAGCGACTCGACGGCACATAACAACAACAACATTAGGTAAAATAGTAAACAACTTAACCAGACTGGTTGCTCTTATTGATGAGTCAGAAAACAAAAACTCTATAGAGAGAAATATGTGTTTCACTTATAATGGGACAGTAGTATCTGTTTTCACTTTCTCATTTCTGAGTAAGACCAGTCTGTACTTTTTGTAATATGTAGTTACTATATTGTAAACAGTTTGCATTTTAAATTGACTACTGTTTGTAGTTTTTATTAGCTAGTAGTTGCATCATTTTGGAAAATCCTCGTAGAAATCCATTTTAAAACTATCACCTTTGGTTTAAGTTTTATTTGAGTTACACATTATTAAATTTTAGAATGGAGCACTATAACACAAAATTATGTTCTGTGAAACTTGAACAAGTCTTGTATAATAAGTAGCCCTGAAATATTTGCAATTGCATTTTAATGAAAAATTTAAAATTGTAGTATGTTAGTTTATTGGGTAAGGACTTATGCTTTGAACCCAAAGGTGAGCAGTTTGAATTCATCTTCCTCCGTTGGGGTGGGAAGTAGTCCGTCATGTGATTTAAAGCCTCCGAAAACCCACAGGACGGTCAGCTGTGAAGTACTTCCTACTCAGTATTCAACAATATTGTTAAAAACTTCATGTTTTGAAACAGATCTGAAGTTACAAATACTTATTCTAAGTATTTTCTATACTTCTTCTGTTTGCACCAGTGGAAGTCGGCAAAATTGAGCTTAAATAGTAGTCGTGCTCAGTCTTTCAGTTGAAATTCTCTATCTGTACTTTTTCAGTGTCAGTGTTTGTTACTTGCCGAGAACGGAACTCCTTCTCTATTTTTATCTTCTCTTATCTAGAAAATGAATCTCATCTACGCTTGGTATTGATCTATCAAACCTATTTACAACATAGAAAGCTATGGTGGTCTAGTGGGTAGGAAGCTACACTGCCAACCCACAGTTACGAGGTTTGAATCCACCAGCTTCTCTGAGGGAGAAAGATGGACATTCTTTTCCCGTGTGGCTTATAGTCTCTGAGAACCCACTGGAATGTCAGCTATGAGTTGGTTCCATCTCAATGGAAATGAGGGTTTATTTTTGAGACACAATATAAATTATTGTGTGTATTGTGTTCTTGTTGTAAAATTTACATCTTAAGCCTGTGTGGCTTTGTGTAAATTATTTTGAAGTTGTGGAAAGTAAGTAGATTCTTATCTTTGTCTCTCCATGTGTATGTGTGTGAGAGAAACAAGGAAATAGAGTGAGAATATCAAGTGGGTTTTTGGCCATAAGCGGGACTTAAGGGACACAATAAAATTTATGATGGTGGGGATGGAAGTGTGGGTTGGAGGCCAGCAGCTTGGTGCTGATGTGGCAGGCTGGTAAGCAGCAGCTGCCTGTGGTCAGTTAGGAAGCAGGAACCTCTTTGAGAAGATTCCCTCAGGCTCATGGGGACATGGGGATGTGGATTTTTGTCATGGTTTTCTCTACAGAGTATCTGGAATGTCACTTCCTAGTCCACAGACTCTGAGGAAGAGACCACTCCTTTTCTGAGACAGGAACATTAAGAAGTCTCCATCATCAGAAGTTAGATACCTGGTCTTCTCTTTCAGAAATCCTTTTCATTTCTGTTTTAAATGACATCTGTTTAGGAACCTGTAGAAGATAGTTTTCTTGTAACTTGCCCCTGAAATGTTTTTACTGTTTGTCATGGCCTCCATGACTAAACCAACTTTACCCGCTGGTTTTCAGTTGATGGATCCTCTTCTCTTTGCCTGTTTTCTGATTGTAAAATACCTGAGTAGTAGTATTGATAGGTGCTGGCAAGTCATCTACGACTCATTGCAACGTCATGAACAGTTGGACAGTGGATCTAAACTATGCCCTGTCCTGTGTCATCTTTTTCATTTCTCATATACTTGAGCCCATTGTTGCAGTTACTGTGTCAACCCATCTTGTTGGGGGTCTTCCTCTCTTTCATTCACACCTCCACCTTTTCATGCATGATGTCCTTCTGCATCATGACTGGCCCCTCCTAACAACATCCCCAAAAAATGTGATGCAAAGCTTCACTGCTTTGCCTGCAAAGAACCCTTAGCTGCACTTTCTTTAAGATATGTTTATTTTTTCTCTTGGGCACATATCCAAAAGATAGTATCCTTAGGAAATTCTGTACTCTTCTCCAACACCACAAGACAAACCTCTGATTCTTTTGCCATCCTTAGTCATTGCCCAACTCTCAGATGCGTAACAAGTAATTGAAAAGACTATGGCTTGTATAAATGCACCTTAGTCTTTAAACTGACATCATTGTTCTTTAATACTTTAGAGAGGTCCTTGACAGCAATTTTACCTAAAACAATATTCTTGATTTCTTGACTGCTGGGGCCAATATTTTGATTGTGGATCCAACCGAGGTGAAATCTTGAGTATTAGCAAGAGGTAAAACTGTGACAAAGTTTATTGACTCTGAAGAATTTTACACATAAGATTTAGTCAGTAGTATTAGTTATAGACCCAAGAGAGCACATTTTGGCTTTTGGACAACAGGGACGTTTTGTGCTGTAGAAAGATATAATGGTAAAATCATACTATGAACTTTTCAGTCTTCCCTTGCACTCCAAAATAAACGTGTAAATTTATTTTTTTTAAAAAATAACCAACTTTACCGTTAGGTAAATAAGAGACTCTCATAGCATAGTTCACAGTGAATTGCACTGCTTATCCAAAGGCAGCACGTCTCTGACAACTGAATCCACCTCAGCTCCAAGGGAAGAGCCTGCATGGTCTCCTCCCAGACAGTGTTCAGCCTCTGGAAACCCACTGGAGGGTCAGCTATTACATAAGTTAAACAAGAGCATGAAAAAATGCTCCTACGCCTTAGGGAAATGCAAAGTGTGACCGAGAGATAGCGTATTATGGGTGCCTAAATTTAAAGTGACACCAAAGAGTTGGCATGGATGTGAAAGGTGAGGAGTTCCCATATCTAGTTGGTTAGAATGTAAAAGTATAAAATGCCAGAACCATTTTGGAAAGCAGTTTGGCACTGTAATTGAAAGTGAATCATAGACCTGCTATATGATCTAGCTAGTTCTACTTCCAGGTTTTTACCCAAGAGATAGGAAACCATAAAGCTACACAAGACTTATGTGTGAATGTTCATAAGAGTCTTATTTATTCAAACCCCAAAATGAGAACAGCCCAAATGTCCATGACCAGGTAGATTCTTAGTAACACATTCTAGGATTGCATTTATGTGAAATTGTAGAAAATATAAACAGATCTAATGATTATGACTTTCTGATACAGTAGTTATTCACCCATTACCTGAATTATGGTGATGTGCAGATGTCTATGAAACCCTATCAATTTATATACTTTAAACAGATGCAATTAGTTATTATAATTTAATGAAACTTCAGTGAAACTGTTTTTTCTAATTTTACCATTGCATTTCAGTTCTTTTTCTTTTTTAATTTTAGGGAAGAAATTCTCCAACAGTCTTTGTGGGAAAGAGTATCAACTCATGTGATTGAAAACATCTATCTTCCAGCAGCACAGACCATGAATTCAGGAACATTTAATACTACAGTGGATATCAAGCTAAAACAGTGGACTGATAAACAGCTTCCTAATAAAGCAGTAGAGGTTAGGATATAATTTAATTAAATGGGTAAGAAGCATTATCTGTAGGGATGAGGAGCTGTGAATTTGAGGTTTTATTACCATCACAGCCACTCTCTTTCTCTTTAGTGTTTTACTCCATTGTTGTAAAATTTTAATATTTGGTATTAGATGGAGGCAATTGATTCTTTCTCCAAAATAGCATTTTTTTAAAAACTGACAAAATTTGCTTGAGTGAAATATTTTTAATTTCTATAGGAGGAGAATTCTGTAAGGGAAATATTTAATGGATAAGATATTTCATTTATTTGTTTTCTCAAAGACTGTTATACTTAAGTAATCATTTTCTTAGTTCAGCTCCATCAGATTAGGCAAGACTCCTAAGAGTACTTTAAATAAAAATGCCATTTTTATTAATGAGCAAATAATATTTTAAATTATATTTTATGTTATATTTTAGGTCTACTATCTATTTTGACTATGTGATTCCAGGGCTAGTTACTTAACCTTTATAAACTTTTGTTTCCTCATCTATAAAAATAGGACTGATAATGTTTCATACCGTCTGGGAGTTTAGTGAAAACTAAGTGAGTTAATACATATAGATTATTTAGACAGTTCTCAGCCTATAATAAATGTCATCTGCTGTTCTCATCCTCCTCCTATCCTGAGTTAGACAGCCATAAACATTACTTTTCTAAAGAGTGGTTGTTCTAAGTGTTACTGTTATCTCCTGTGTTGTTTGTAGAGGTCAGTGTTAAAATAGTTTTATTTTTCACTCCCTACCTTAGAAATAAAATGCTAGCTTCTCATTATTCACCTCTCCTGTCTAGCTCCAGCCCTACCTTCTTCCTATTCTGTTCTCTGTTTCCTCTAACTTCCCTTTCCAGAACTCTGACAGTCTCCTTTCCTGAGTTAAATATTGTTGAACCCTGATCAGTTCTCAGCCCATTCACCCTAAAGTAATTAGAATGCTGCTACTGCCACTTGACTAACTGACCTCATGGCTCCTATATTTTTCCTGAGTCCTTTTCCCTGAGAAGAGATTTTTATATCCTAAGTTTCAAGCAAGCAAAAGAAGTGGCCTTTTAAAAAGCAGTCATTCTGTCTCACGCTGATTCTCCCCTTGAATTGAGTAGTTGAAAGGACATTGTCCTGTGGAGAGTCTGGAAACATAGATCTTAAGATTGAGTCCATTACTGTGTATACTTTCTTTATCTGTCACATGACAGGGCTAAATACAATACCCAACATAAAAAGTCCCCTTACACATAAAGTTGATTTCATTCTTGATTACATTTGTACCTGTTGTTCTTTTTCTCAATCAGGTAGTTGAGCATTATCCATAATATGAACTTGAATAATAGCTGTATTTGAAAGTGTTGGTTCAGGTAAAAACATTGAATAATTAGTTAAGAAATGGTAACATTTTTAGTTTGGAGGAAGCAGGCAAACCCCAGGATCTGCAAGCTGAGATGAAGTCTGGTGGCCAACTGAGAGTGCGCACTTTCTCTAGAGGGGCAACTACTTTAATTCCTGCAAGTCAGATAAAACACTATGAGTGTACAGTGTAGCCAGAAAGTTCCAGAAGGACTGGAAATAACAGATTTTTTTATAGGGCGTCTCTTGAGATATCATTGTTTGCAACAAAATTCTTTAAATTTTTGGCTGTGTGTATAAGCAAATTACACCAAATGTCTTCCCGTCAGCCCCCACCTTCTATCCTCACCATTGCTATGTTTTTGAAAATGTAGTTTTATGTGTATTTTCTGATAAGCTGATCTGTGTCATCTTAAAGGCGTGTGTACTTTTTCATGTTCTGTATTACATAAATGTATAACGCATAAACAAAGCTGTTTTATCTTGTAAATAATTCCAGGTTGCTTGGGAGACCCTGCAAGAAGAATTTTCCCGCTTCATGACCGAACCAAAAGGAAAAGAGCATGATGACATATTTGATAAACTTAAAGAGGCTGTAAAGGAAGAAAGTATCAAACGCCACAAGTGGAATGACTTTGCAGAAGACAGCTTGGTATGACATTTGCATATCATTATTCTGGCCTCGTGCTCTTTTATAATTTCACACACTCATCCTTTTTTCAATAGGGAACTATTTTTATATGACTACTCAATTAGATTTTGAATTTGAAATAGTAAAGGAGAGAAGAAGATACAGGATCATTAATTTGCCCTTTACCATTTTTTCTCTGTTCTTCTAAAGTCTGCTTTTACCATTTCTTTCTCAGCTATCATTTCAGAAAGGAAGTCAGACTTGTAGAAAGCAGACTTCTATTAACATGAGTCTGAACTACAGATAGCAGCTTCCCATTTCACTCGCTGTTGTAATAAAGAAATTAAAACGAAGATATACATTGATTTTCGGTAGTTTTGAATCAACGTGTTGGAATCCTAAAATCATAATGCCACCTTTCATCTACAAAAAGCTCACTGTGTTCCAGGAACTTTGCTAAATATTTTGCCAGCATTATTTTGTTTCACTCATATACAGTCCTGTGATCGTTGAGCCCTGGTGACATCTTACCCGCAAGATCAGCAGTTTAAACTTACCCACTATGGGAGAAGTATGGCCGTCTACTTTCTATGGGGTAATTCTGCTCTGTCCTCAAAGAATTGCTATGAGTCCTCATTGACTCGAGAGCACACGATGTTATTGTTACATTTCTGGAATTCAGTCCTGGCTCTGATTTGAAATCCTTGGCTTTTGACCACCACCTGATAAGCTTTTGTTAAGCACCTGCTCTGCTCAGAGAGTTGTAAGAGGCACTGTTCAGTAGGAACATTGAGGACCAGATTTCTAGGGACATACATATGCCAAGTTATCTATCAGAATTATAATTTCCTTTTAAAGAGGGGTCTATACTTAAACAATTTTCATTTTTCCTGAATACGTTTTAGATTGGCATGGTTAAAAAACTGATGCTGTTTTCATTAACTTATTCTGTAATTATGAAATCCTCTTTCATTGCCGCAGTGTCAGAACCAGGTCATACATGACCCTCTAGAGGGTTTTCAGAAGCTGTAAATCTCATGGGAGGAGATTGCCCATGTATTTTCCCACAGAGTAGCTGGTGGATTCGTTGGCTTTACAACGCTCTACCACCTAGGCCACCAGAGCTCTATTAAAAAATTGAGAAATCAATTTTTTTGTTTTAATAAATAAAGTGGTTGTTAACTACCCTGTTTTATTACTGATCTTAACAGTTACATATAATTAGTACTTCCCCTCCCTCTTTTCTGAAAACCTGGTACATGGATTATGTGACAAAAACAGAAGATGATCATGTTTTACATATTACCTCCTCATGCCCTGGTTTTAGATGTTGCAGGATTTTTTTTTTGTAGTTTGTATGTAGGGTCTTTCTCTCCATCATGATAGAGCAAGAAAAGATTCACACTGTTAACAATTTCATCTTAACTTTTATCCACAATTAACACAGTTGGTACCAGCAATCAGGAAATCAGGAGACTTAATGCTCTGGGAAAGTTGTAGTCACAGACCTCTCCAAATTATTGAGGAGTAATGATGGCAGTTTAAGGACTGAGGTGCATTTCATTCAGGCCATAGTCTTTCCGATCACTTGCTGTGCATGTGTGAGCTGAACATTGAATAAGGATGACAGAAGAAAAATTGATGTCTTTGAACTGTGGTGTTGGAAAAAAGTACTGAACATCCCAGCGACTGCCAAAAGTACGAACAAATATGTTTAGGAGAAAGTGCAGCCAGCATGCTCTTTGAAGGCAAAGATGATAAAGTTTTGTCTCACATACTTTAGGCGTGTTACTAGGAGGGGCTATTCCTAGGAGAAGGACATAATGCTCAGAAAGGGTTGATGAAGAAGAAGACCCTCAACCAGGTAGATTGAAACAGTGACTTCTGCAGTGGGCTCTCATGTGTCAGGAAGTTTGAGGATGGGATGGGCTTCAGATCTGTTGTTCACGGGTTCTCTGTGGTCATGCTTGACTCAGCGGCACTGAACAGCACCTTTCTGAACATCTTAAAAATAGTCAACTCATTGAATCTGGACTAAGAGAAGATCTTCACTATTTAATATTTAGACAGAATGCTGACAAATACACACTTAAGAGATCCTGTATTTTTGTGAGAGGCACATACTTGTATGCTATTTCAGTTGCATATATTCTTTTGTATAGTCACTGAATTGTCTGTTTTTGTAAAATACTAACTTGATAAGACGTAAATTAAATTTTGTTTGTCCTTCTGTTGCTTTTTAGAGAGTTATTCAACACAATGCTTTGGAAGACCGGTCAATATCTGATAAACAGCAGTGGGATGCAGCTATTTACTTTATGGAAGAGGCTCTGCAGGCTCGTCTCAAGGACAGTAAGTACTGACGTGGCCATTGAGTTCTGGGTACTCAGCAGAGATAAAGAAGTCGCCCAGCTTCGTGAACACCTGGAAAAATACCAGCCTTTCTGGGCCTTGGTTATTAGCACTGTAATTGAATATTATTTGTGTATTTTTTCAGTGAGCTGCCTAGAATTATTAGAATTGTGAAAGAAGTTGAACTTAATGCTTATATATACTCAAATTCCAAAATGCTAAAATTCAGAATATTCTATTTATTAACTGTACTTCTAGGAGCTATATAAGCAATTACACTGGTTTTATATTCTATAAACAAAGATAATTAACATCTTAGGCATGTACTGTGTTGCTATTGTGTACTGTTGAGTCAACGCTGGCTCATGGCTCACCCTTCAGTAGGTTTTCAGAGGCACTTTAATCACACAGGAGGAGATTGTCATTTTCCTGTGGAGCAGCTGGTGGATTTGAGTCACATGCCTTCAGACTACCAGCACAACTCTTGACCACTGGACCACCAGAAATCCCAAACTGATCATGCATTTTTTTTTCTTACTTAAACGAGACATTTATACTGATCTTTGTAGTTATTTAGAAAGTCCATTATTCATTATCATTTACATGTTTCATAATGATGATCTTTTTAACGAATTATTTTTTTTTTCTTTTCCTAGCTGAAAATGCAATTGAAAACATGATAGGTCCAGACTGGAAAAAGAGGTGGTTATATTGGAAGAATCGAACTCAAGAACAGGTAAAAGGAAACCAATGTCTGGTTATCATTTTGCTCATTTTAATTCAGACTTTAGACATCTTTTTGTGGTGTTTCATTTAAAGCAAAGTAGCTTTGTTCCTGAAAGAAAAGATAAGTGAAACATGCCCTTTTGTAGTGGATTATTTTGTCCATTTTAATTCTCTACTTGAGTTATTTCAGGGAACCAGAAAAACATTAAACAAGAAAAAAATAACAAAGATGCAACAGTATGTAAAATGAGTGTGATTAGTAAAAAAAATAATGTGGGAGGTATTTTTTTCAATCTGTTTTTACTATATTTTATCTGGATTTTTCTGTAAGTAGTGTATTTAAATTATTCACTTAACAGCACCTCAGAAGAGTAAGACAGTCAGGACAAAGAGCATTTTAAGAATGAGTAAAGGAAAAGTGTAAGTAGTTCAGTTTCTCACCATCATCATCCTCACCTCTAGCCCTTTCTGTTTCTTTCAGACCTGTAGCTTCTTTTCCCAGTTAGCATTATCTTTTAAAACAGTTTCACTTCTGTATTCATGCTTTAATAGAATATACACTAAAATTTAGATTCTAAATACTTAAATGTAACCATAAATAACCAAAGGAGCGTGTCCAATTCACTTGTTTGTTTGTTTTATTTATGCATTTAAATAAGGAAAGAAAGCTAAGACATGGGGCGGGGGAGGGGGATGAGAGTGGTTTTTAAAAAACTATAAAATGATAGGTTGTTATGTTGTTAAGTGCCATCGAGCCATAGACGACTCATAGTGACCCTGTGAACAAAAGACCTGAATACTTGTATACTTTCATCATTTCTCCACGTTCATAGAGTTTCCAGAGGCAGGCTATTTCAGAAGTGGATGCCACTTTTGCTTCTAAGCTTGTTTTAATCAGGGAGCGCCAACAAACACTGTCCACCATGGGTAACCATTATCGCATTTGACACATCAGTGTCATAGTGTTCAGCATCACAGCAACCATGAGTTACCTCTGTACAGCAGCTGGACAAACCAGTATATACTATCTTTATTTTCTCATTTATTTTGTGGTCCCCTTCTTTGTTGTCACTTTAGATAAAATTACATAATTAGTACTCTATTTCTTTTTCAATTTCACAACCCTTCTTTTTTCATAAACGGTCTTTTAGATGTTGGTCTCAAATCATCTTAAAATAGTAACACTTTCGTTTTCTCTTGGTCTCTTCCATGATTTATGTGAAACTTGAAATAATTGAAAAAGTGAGGAGGAGGCCGAGTCATTGGTGGGACCATGCATATGTTCAGTGTGCATCAGTTATCTCTGTTCCAGAAGGCCTGAGAGCCAGAGGCCTTTATTTCTAGGGATCTGTCAGGGGTTTCTGACTTAGACAAGAAGAAGCTTTGATTTGGAAAAGTTGTTAAGGCAGATAAAGTCCAGAAAAATGTGATCTCATACTTTCAAGGCTTAGGGAAATGAGACCTAGAGTCTGTCAGAGACATTCATCTATTGCAGAGTTTCAGCGGCCTCCTGATACAAATGCTTTGGCCACTTTCTCACTGAGAGAGACATAATCCCTGATTTGAAAATATTCTCAAGAACTTGAATCCACTAGGGATCCCTCCAAGGAACAGAGAAATTAATTTCAAGGTTTTAAAGTAAAAGTTCTGCAGCTAGAAACCCATAAGAACTCCTCCCCATAAGGTTTTGAGGGAGGAGGCGTTAGGCTCAATTTGACCTTGGAACAGAAGCTGAAATTTGGAATGGAGGGGCAGAAGCACACCAGAATCATGAGGGAGTATGGTATGATTCTTTTGGAGGTGGTTTTTTCTTTTTTTCTAAATTCAGCACCATGTCACACTCATTGAGTCAGACTATCCATGCACGTTGGAGGAAATCGTGAAGAGGGAGAAGGATAAGTCAAGATTCAGATCTGCTGTTGAAGGATCACTGTGAGTCATAGGCAACTCAGTGATGCCTGACACCAGTCTTCTCTTTCTTCCATTTCTGGATGTTCCACTATTTGGAGATTATCTGATTCTAGAAGAAGTTGAGAGTAATCCCAGATCTCATGAGTTTAAGTAGCTGTGTAATAATTCTTCTCATCTTTTGAGTGATAAATTTAGCAGGAAAAGAATAAAAAATGTTTGTTCTGTGGTAAAGATGTTAAATCTTTACTACCTGGTAACTCTTTCATGCATTTGGTAGGTTTCTTAATTTTCTAAGAAAGTCCACTCTTCTGAAACAATTTCACATTGTCTAAAGGGAGTGTCAGAGATGTGCTCTTGGCAAAGGACAGGGCAGGGTTCAGATCTGTTCTTCATAGGGTCATTGACCTCCACTTGAGCAGTCAGCTTGAGCTGAGCTGTACTCAACAGCTCCTAACAGCAGCAGCAACAATAAGCAGCAGATCTGTGGGAGATCATTGTGAGGGTAGATGGGAGGCTAGTTAGGAACACCTTTCTCAAGAGATGCCCATTTCCCTCAGACTAGGCATGCAGGTGTTAAGCAAACAGTGTTATGATGTTTTTTTGGCTTGGGTGTTTTTTGGGTTTTTTTCCCCCACTAAGTAATACTTCTTCAAGGAACTCCGGTAGCATAATTCAAATCAACCACCAACTACAGGAGAAGGGGGGGCATTCTTCTCCTATGCTGAGCCTCTGGTGGTTCGATTCCACCAGTCAATCTGTGGGTAAAAGGTCATCTGTTTGATTTACAACTTCAGAAACCCAATGGAAGAATCCATCTAACTGGTGGCATACTGCAGAATATATAGGACAGTGGCAGAAAGATGGGTAGTCTCCTCCCATGATGATTTACAGCTTCAGAATGTTGACGGAGGGTTTGCTGTGAGTCGGAAGCAACTCCATGGCTGTGGGTTTAGTTTTTAGTTGGCTTCCTTGTTTGGAAGTTGTCTTCCTCGTCATGATTCTGTTTTCAAGAATAATATATTTTTAGATGCCCTGAATTTTATGTATCACGTCAGTCCCCACCTTACCCTAGTCCTGAAGGATATTTGTGTCCTATATAATATGTCGGGAGCTCTGGTAGAGAAATCCACAGGGAGTTGTGCTGTTAACCCAAAGATGCCAGTGGCTCCAAGGGAGAAAAATGGGCACTCTCCTCCCTTGTGATGGACAGCCTTGTAAAGGGCCAACCAGGAGTCATTCCCCACTCCTTTGTGTTACTTAAGGAGGGTGGCAGGGAGGTGAGATACTTTGTATTAAAACCCATATTTCATGACAATTTCAGAAATGCTTCTTGATACAAGATGTCTTTCGTTGGTAAAAACCCATAGTATTAACAAAAAATTTAAAGTAGAAAACAATTGAATCATGAAAAGGTTAATAAAAAGACCTTTAAAATCATGCTAGGTGTTTTTACATTCAGTTACTTTATCAGAAAAGAAATAGGAATTCTTTGACCAACTGACATGACACGTGAAGAAATGCTCAAAATCACTGACAATAAGAGAAGTGTAAATCAAAACCATAGTAAGATACAATCTCACCTCAGTAGCAGTAGGCAAAGTTTAGCAGGACAGCAAGTAATAAATGTTGAAGAGGATATGGAGAGATAGGAACTCTCATACATTATGGGTGGGATTATGAAATGGTAAAGCCACTCTAGAAGTCATTTTGACATTTCCTCCAAAAGTAGAACCTGGAAACTCTGTATACCCAGCTATTGCACTAGTAGGAATAAACCCCAAGGAAATTAGAACTGAGACACAAGTGGACATTTGTATGCCAGGGTTCATAGCAGCATTATTCACAATAGCACGAACATGGAAACAGCACATATGTTCAACCACAACCAAATGAGTTGAGAAATTGTGGTACATTCACACAGTGGAATACAGCACTCAGAAGTAATGATTTTGAAAAATACTACGTAACCTGGGAGAGACTGGAGAACATTATGCTAATACAGCCTCATTAAGGACAAATGCTGTATAAGACCATTATTGTAAAAATAGAAGGATAACTAAAACATGTATGGGGACCCAAGAGAGAAGAGGTGGGTCCTCACTTCAGAGGTGTGATGATGGATAGGGGCAAAATCACAGGGTTGCACAATTTGGTGGGTAAAGGATGGGGGTAAAGGAAATGGGAAAGTTTGGGCGGGGATCTGAAATGACAGGGTTATTATGGACATAGTGTAATGGTGATTAAGTTTATAATGAATGGGAGTGATTGTATGAAACACAACATTAATGAAGAATAATGTGAAACACAATGTGTATGAACTTTGTAAGCAAACCATATAAAATAAAAATTAAAAATAAAGATCCCTGCCTGCAGACTTTACCAAAGCAATAAATCATCTGAACTCCCAACTAAAAAAAGAAATAGGAATCCTTAATAGGTACTCCAGTTCTTACTATGAGCCATTTACAAAACATTATCTCTTCATAAATGTTCAGGATGCTTTCATTTGCATCCAGACCATATCTGAATGTCAAGAAAGATGCATCCTGAGGTGCCTTATGCTGTCACTTCAGTCATAAGAAATGTTTTGGCAAGCATAAAATATGATAAAGAGGGCTCATTCCTACTGTATCCCCTTCTCATTAATCCCTCTGTTCATAAACCCGCTTACCCATTGCCTTTTTTTCTTCTTTGTTGAGATTAAGTTTATAGTGCCTATCCCACAATAGTACTATGTTTATTAAGATTGGAACTCAGTATTTACAGGTGTGCCAGATTATGAACCATCTAAACATGGCCCTTTTCTAAACATTTTCCAGTGTGTTCACAATGAAACCAAGAACGAATTGGAGAAGATGTTGAAATGCAACGAAGAACACCCAGCTTATCTTGCAAGTGATGAGATAACTACAGTCCGGAAGAATCTTGAATCCCGAGGAGTAGAAGTAGACCCCAGTTTGGTAATAAATAATGTGTTATTCCTACTTCTTTAACGGTTCACTAAAAGGTGGCAGCTTCTAATGCACTGCTTAGAAATTTAGGTGCTTGATTTGATTTTCATCATGTGGTGTTCAAAGTAAAACTCGATTCATTTTGGTTGTGTAGTAAGGTATAGAAATTTTACTGTCTGAATTGATTTTTGTCAGGCTGATGCTTTAATTTGTGAATGGGAAACTGAAATTTAGAGAAGGGATGTTTCCGAAGCATGCCCAGAGGTAACCCCTCACCTGATCCCTGCTCCACATCACATTAAGAGTGCACAGTGTTGGTGGCAGGGTGGGGGGGGAGTACAGTGTATACACATATGTTCTACAGTCAAATACTAAGTGTTATCACTTAACTAGATCCTCCTACAAGGATCTAGGTTTAGAATAAATACAAATGCATAGTTTTATTATACTAGATACAGACCTCAAATTTTTCTTTACCTCAGTTTCTTTCTTTCTAATACATACAAGGATAAAAATAGTCTGAAAATATGACTTCACTTATGAGGCTTCGTTGTTGTTGTTGCTAAGTCTCGTTGAGTTGCAAACAACTCATAGTGACCCTGTGAATGAAAGACCTGAACACTTGTGTAACTTCCATCATTTCTCCAAGATCATAGAGTTTCTTGAGGCAAGTTATTTACGGAAGTGGATGCCACTCCTGTTTCCAAGCCTGTTTTAATCGGGGAGCGCCACCAAACACTGTCCACCATGGGGAGCCATTATTGCATTAGACACATCAGTGTCACAGTGTTTAGCATCACAACGACCACGAGTTACCTCTGTCCAGCAAATGGACAGACCAGTGCTTTACCACATAGGAGAATTTAGGCAGATTAAAAAAAAAAAGCTAGTGTGTGTGTCTATACCATACCTCCTACTTAGTTTGAGCCCATAAAAGGATCAGAACTCATTTTAATATGAGTGAAACATGGTGAGAAAAATAAATCTAGGGGGAATGGTATTAATACTAGGAATTCCAGAACCAAAAATGAATTATTTTAAAAATTATCTGCCAGAACCTTTCTGTACTTGAGAAGTGAGTGTACTTGTTTTAAGTTCCACCAGAGGGCAGAAAGAAAAGTAAAACTCAAAGCTGTTAAATACATTAAAAATCTAGAGTGGTTTCTAAATGATGAGACTATAATTACTGACTAAATGAATTTTTTTAATTGAATATCGATTGTATAGTTTCCAATTTTTTCTTAGTCTTGTTTATAATAGTCTTCAGTTTAGTATTTAACACTGTTGATATTTGGATTAATATATTTCTTTTTTAAAAATATCCAACTGCCATAGAGACTCTGGGGTGAAATCTGGCACTGTGGGTAAAAACACTCAGTTGTTCCCCATGAACTTGGCAGTTTGCACTTACCTGCCACTCTGTAGGAGAAAGAGGCGGCCGTCGACTTCCATCACAGTTAATAACACCTGTGGAAACGCTCATGGGCAGCTCCACTCTGTGCTGTAGGGTCACTATAGAAGTTGAAGTTGACAGTGACAGTGAATTTTTGGGTTCCTATGAAAAATATAACATAAGCAGTTGCTAGGATATTTTTCTTTTAGGTCTTTATTGATATCTTTGTATGTTAATGATATGTTTTGACTTTACTGTAAGCAAGAAGATTTTTTTTTAAAAGAGTGACACTTTGTTCATACCAAGTTATAGGAAAGAACACAGGCGGGAGAAGATAGATATTCTGTGTAATTCCCTTTCATTTGCTAGTAACTATTATTTTTAGTAGTTTGTAGAGAAAGTATATACTTTTGTAATTTATTTTTTTTCTCATCTAAAATGGCATTAATGATACTCTAGCAGGAGTTGCATCCACTTCCTAAACCACATGCATCTGGAAACTCTATGACCTTGGAAAAATGACGATAGCGATGGAAAGGCATTAAGTCTTTTGTTCATAGAGTCACTATGAGTCAACCTCGACTCGATGGCAATCAACATCAACAACATATACCATTTTATGCCCAAAGTAGACAGTGGATATGAAAATAATTATTGAACCGATTTTATAGTACTACATTAACATGTTAGCAGTAGAATTTCAAATCAGAATGCAAATATTGTTGAGTTGATAGACATAGTCCAGCTTTGTGACCCTGTGTCATCAGACAGGGATTTGGACTTGCCTTTCCCTCTGAGCAGTGAAAGAGGGTCTCCAGCTTAGCCTCATCTACCAGATGATTAAGTCTAGTAACAATTCTTGTTGAAAACACTGCATACTTTGAAGTATATAAGTCTTAAGGGACCAGAAGAGTAATACATCTAATCTTTGTCCTGGGGAAAAAAAGTAAGGGGATAAAAACAATTGGTAGAATAAGTATGTTGCCATTGCTTCTAACATTTTTTATTGAGAACTCTGCTTGTTCAGAAAGTGTTTGATCAACATGACGAACTTCCAGCACCTCTTTGATTTTTGTTTTCTTTTCTCATGTTAGATTAAGGATACTTGGCACCAGGTTTACAGACGGCATTTCTTAAAAACAGCTCTAAATCACTGTAACCTTTGTCGAAGAGGCTTTTACTACTACCAGAGGCATTTTGTAGATTCTGAGGTAAGGTATTCAAGAGCGTGCAGAAATGTGTGCTAGCACTAATTGCTTAAAGATGGTTAAAGTTAGCTTTAGCCGTACTTTTAACTCCTATATTTGTCTAGTAAGAATTTTGCATGGTTTACAAAGAATAGCATTAATTCTTCTCTCCAAAGATATTTACTGTTATGCTAAATTTAACTGTATTTTGTCTGCATGTCATTCCCAGTGTCTAGGACAGTGTTTGCTGTAAACCTAATCACTTTTTAATATTGCTTTTATATTTTACATGTTCTTAAAGAATTAGCTTTTTTACATTAGCAAGTAATGTATTCCCATAGTACAAAATAAATGCAGTAAAGTAGAAATAGAATTTTTTTAAAAGTGATAAACAAAATAGTCACTTATACTTGCCTATTCAAGTAATTTTGCTTCTAGGAAAATAAGTAATTGTTTTACTCAATGTGGTTCTGTAGGACACTGACGGAAAGGTGAGCACTGTGGACATCCTAGAACTGACTCAGGGGCTCTCTGCCCTCTTAATCATCCCCTCCCGGGGCACGTCCTCACAGCCAAGCTGGCCTTCACTGCAGCTAACTTAGCAGAGAAGGTGGTGATAGCCAAGCAGGACCTTGGGGAGCCCCACACCCCTCCAGACATAGGTATTCAAATACATCCTATTTCACAGTCAAAATCAACTAGGCAGCTGCTGGGTTGTTCGAGTGTTGTGAAGACTGAGCGGTGTATTTCTGGACTTTTAGTCTATATTTTCATGTTGGCAGTATAGCATAGCCATCCATGTGCATGGTGACAATCAGATTTTTTAAGAAATCCTGCTATTTTTCTATATTATATTGTAAATCTTGTTTAGAGCACTTCTTTAAAATAACTGTAATGTTTTTGAAATGCACACTTCAAGCAAAAATGCTTTTAAAGTATCCTTTTGAAAGTGTTCTGTTGAGATTCAAAAAAAGAAAAAAGCTTTTTCTTTTGAACTTTCAGTCACTTAAAAGGAAATTTATACTTAAATGCACATATGTAAAGGTGCTGATTTTTTTTGGTATGATTTTAATGTTGTAAAAATCTTTTCGGATCTTTCCCTACAGCTGAGCTTTAAAAAGATTTTCACATACAACTGAATTTCAGAAAATGGCTTGAGGATACACACAAGGAAAATAATGTTAGTCTGAAGACATATTTAAGATATACATGGTTGTTAACAGAAATAGAATACAAATTGAAGCTGCCTGCTCTAATTGTGTACTTGGATATGTTGGTGATGTTGTTGTTGTTGTTGTTGTTATTGTTATGTGCCATCGAGTCACTTGATTTTGGTGATAGTTACTGTTAAATGCAATGGAGTTGGTTTCAACTACTTCTCAAGTTTGTTTGGTCATTTGGGAATCAAAATGGGTGAGGCAGATAGAATCCAAAGCATGCAAGATAGCCTAGATCTGTTGAGAGAAAATCCGATAGCTTATAATGATTGTAAGAATATATAAATACGTATTTGGATAGATAAATACGTTCTATTGAAGAGTAGGATACAGTTTCTGACTTCTGGGAGTTGTATAATTGTGTTGCTTTAATTTCTTTTATTTGCATCTGGTAACTGCAGTTGGAGTGCAATGACGTGGTCCTGTTTTGGCGAATACAGCGCATGCTCGCTATCACAGCAAATACATTAAGGCAGCAGCTTACAAACACTGAAGGTAAGTCTCACAGAAGAAGCCAGTTTTGAATTTTTCTATCAGTAATAATGTCAAAGAATGTCATTAAAAATAGGTTTACTAGCATGCTTAAAAATGGTAATTGGCTCTTTTGTTATTAATGAGCACAGATCACAGCTGAGAAAGATAAACCATACTTTCATTCTTCGATAGTAATTTAGCTCCTAGAAGGGGAAAAAAAACCCAAAACAAAGCCAGATGCACCTGTATTGACATTGCCAACAGAGCTCTGGTTGTCTAGTGGTAAGGAGCTGTACCGGCAACCCAAAGGTATGCGGTTTGAATCCACCAGCTGCTCCGCAGGAGAAAGCTAGGCAATCTCCTTGTATGTGCTTCACTGCCTCTGAAAAGCCTCTGGAGGCTCAGCCATGGGATGGTAGAGACCAACAATCTCTGTAAATATCTATTTTATCATTCCTGTGCATTCGTAAAAACACCCTGACTTTTTTTTTTAAAAAAAAAAAAAAACTTTTAACAGTCAGGAGACTGGAGAAGAATGTTAAAGAAGTATTGGAAGATTTTGCTGAAGATAGTGAAAAGAAGGTTAAATTGCTTACTGGTAAAAGAGTCCAGCTGGCTGAAGACCTCAGTAAGTGAATCATTCTGCCCTTTCTCTTACTGCCTGTCTTCTCTATTTTTGTTTATTTGTACATTCTCATACTTCTATAAAATTTATAGGTACAGTCAAATAATTTCTCCCCTAAATTATTTCAGAATCATTTATTGAGTTGAAGTTGCATCACTTGCAAGTACTGATATACATTCCATTTCTCTCTTAACAATATCTTAAGTTTCCTACATTCATGGTTCTGATAGTTCATGTCCCAATCCCTAGCATCTCCTTACAACTGTTCCTCCTCCTTTGTGTTTTGGTACTTGAGGGCACAGCCTCAGTAGCCCTATCTACTAGTCTATGTGTGTTCTCTTGTATATAGGGTTTTTGAAGGCCTGTTATTTCAGAAGTGGATTGGCAGTCCTTCTTCCTGGTCTGTCTTAATCTGAATGCTCAGATTTAGAACAGTATCTGACAGACAAACATTTTACAGAAAAGAGCAGATGAAAGGTGTTTCCCCAATTTTAGAAATAACCAGTAGTTTCAATGTTGTCCCCATCCTTGACATGTATGTCTTGACCCACCTGTTTCACAGCTCCACCAGCATTCTCTCCGTTCTACTCCCTCCTACTCCATTCAACTCCTATCTCCCAATATCGAGCCCTTGTCATGATAGTTTATATCTCAAGCTTTCTGGGCTTCCGTGATTCCAAACTCCTCCAGCTGCTGCCAGCTCTTAGGTTGTGGCCTGTGTCTCTTGAGTTTAGGAGTCTGTAAGTCCAAATACCACGTACTAATATTAGGGAAGGCTTCCTATCTCAGACGGTTCTGAGGAAAAGCCCTTTCCCTTTCCAGGTTTGACTTCTTGTGGCATAGAGCCTCTTCTCTTCCATTTGCAGCACATTATAGTCACAATAAAATAGTTTCCCAAGGGAGGGTGATGTGTCATGTAGATCTGGTATATAGTGTGGTTTTCTTGGGATGAGGGCCACAAGCCCGAGGCCTACAAAGAATTACATGCTCTACCTTGATCTGCGGGCTTTTGGGAGACAGGGGCATACCTGTTTTGTGAAAGGGAAGCTGAATCCCCACCGCCTGGGCCTTGCTTTGCTTCCTGTACCCCCTCTTTGCTGCCATGCAACATTCTGCCTCCTGCCCTCACTCCTCAAAGAACTGCAGGCTCTGCTTGATCCACAGGCTTCTGGGAGATGTGAGCATACCTGTTTTGTGGGGATGAAGCTGAGTCCCCGCCTCCTATGCCTTGCCTTGTCTCCTATACCTCCTCTTCCCTCCTGCTCCCCATTCAGGAGGCCAGGATTCTGAAGCTTCGTCTGACATACTTTGGGCATGTTGCCAGGAGGGACCAGTCCTTGGAGAGGGACGTCATGCTTGGGAGGGTGGAGGGACAGTGCAGGAGAAGAAGACCCTCAGTGACATGGATTGATTCAGTGACTGGAGTAATGGGGGTAGGTATGTCAGAGACAGTAAGATTGGCACAGGATAGAGCAGGGTTTAGGGCTGTTTCACATAGGGTCACTGTGAGTTACAGGCAACTCAATGACACTTAACAACAACCAAAAATTTGTTAATGTGTTTCTTACAAAATGAACTTTCTTCTAATAACAATAATATAGCCACAATAATCAAGATGTTACCTGAGATTTCATCTAATTATCAGACCCTGTTCACATTTTACTAGTTATCTCAGTATTGTCCTTCTATATAATACGATGTTCCAGATTCATCCTGTTTCTCTTAATGCAACATTCTTCTTCTGGTGTATGATTTTTAAAAATCATAATAAATTTATTCTCCTTACCTGTTGAGTCTCTTCAGCTAATAACATGAAAATTAGCTAGACCCTACAGGACAATATGGTAAGAGGATTTGAGGAAGATTCATCCATATTGCTTTATTCAGATAACAAAGCATTGCTAGCAAAAGACAAGAAATATTTTCTAAAGATCATATACTACAACCTTCAAAATGGATTACATTTCAGCATCAAGAATACAGAATTCCTTAGATGGAAAAATACTGAAATTGTCAATGATTTCATTTTACTTGGATTCACAATCAGCACTCAAAGTAGCAGCAATCAGAAGACATGTTACACTGGAGAAATTGCTGTCAAGAACCTCTTGAAAATGCTAAAGAGCAAGGATGTCCGTTTAAAGACTAAGGTGCACGTGAGCCAAGCTATTTTTCGTTACTTATTATGCATCTGAAAGTTAAACTGTGAATAAGGAAGACCACAGAGCAATTGACACCTTGTATTGTGGTATTGGTAAAGGGTATTGAATACCATGAACTGAATATATCATGAACCAGAGTTTTCCTTAGAGGCAAGGACAGTGAATCATTAGTAGTCTCACATACTTTGATCTTGTCAGAAGGGGCCAGTCCTTGGAAAAAGACATCATGTTGGAGAAAGTAGAGATTAGCAAAAGAAAAGAAAACCTTCAACAAGATGGATTGACATGATGACTGCAACAGTGGGTGATAAACAGCAGGAATTTTGAATGTGACACAGGATAGGGCAGAGTTCAATCTGTTCATAGGGTCACTATGTTCTTGTGATGGTGGTGACTACGACTGAGTTAGAAATGATACATAGCTCAACCTCCAGGGGTCTTTCAGAGGCAGTAAATTGCATGGGAGGAGAGTGCCTGTCTTTCTCTCCCAGAGCTGCTGATAAGAGTCGAACCATGTTCCTTTGTGCTGACAGCGCGTTTCCCTACCACTAAGCCACCAGAGCTCCATAAGGTCACTATTAGTTGTCTTCAATTCAGTGACTCCTAACAACAGCAATTAGAAATCAGGATCTGAAAACTAAATTGTTAAAATAACAATAACATTGTCATTGGCATATCACTGTTCCTAGACTGTGCAGTAAGCTAGAGAATAAATGATTTATGCCTTGTGTGTGTGCTTACATACATATTTGCATCTACATTCCTAAAATTATGTATGTATAGAAAACTATGAGTTGCCATTAATTAGTACTTCCAATTCTAATCTAATTCACAGTTAATGCCATCTGTTTTCTTTTTTCCATTTTCCTAAGTGCTTTTCTGAAAATGAGCAGTCTTGGATTTGTTACTGTGTGCTGGCTAGTTGGAACAAACTCATTGCTGACCTTCCAGCATGTTTTCAGAGACTGAAAAGGTATTCATATCTCACGGGTGGAGATGGCCCATCTTTCTCCCATGAGGCAGCTGGTGGATTTGAACCCTCTACCTGCCTTGCATTTAGTATCCTTGATATGTTTATTTTTGTTAGTTTCCCTGTGTATCGCCATATTTTTGTCACTGTTTCTTCCCTTGTCTGACTGTCCTTTTCACATTCAGCCAAAGCTCTGGCATTCTTGGCCCTTTGTGGGGTACTTGGCTTGGCTTTGTTATACTTTTCCTCACATATGTAAGATCCAGGTTGCCCTTTTTCTCAGAGCCGTTTTTACTGAACTATACTCTGATAGAGTATTGAATGTACCCTGGACTGCCAAGAAAACAAACAGATTCATCCTGGAGAGTTTTAGACCAGGCTGCTCCTTGGAGGCAAGGATTCTGAGGCTTCATCTGACATACTTTGGACATGTTGTAAGGAGGGAGAAGTCCTTGGAGAGGGACGGCACAGAAGGGGAAGACCCTCTATGAGGTGGATTGATTCAGTGGCTGGGGTAATTGGGATGGGAGTGTCAGAGGCAGTGAGATTGGCCCAGAATAGAGCAGGGTTTAGGGCTCTTGTACATAGGGTTGCTATGAGTCGCAGGCGACTTGATAGCACATAACAACAACAATACTTTGATAACCAGGCATTCCTGCGGGCACACAAACATCTTGTCACCCTTTTATTGACCATTTCCCCCTCTTCACATGCACCACCACCACCACCACTACCCCCTACCCCCACCCCCACCCCCAGGCACATACTCCTATGCTTTCTTCCTCACCTGAATTCAGGCCACACTAAGGCAGAGACTGTCTTTTCACCCTGCTTGTTCATGGACAACCCATATCACGCTGCTGTCCTACATTGACTCTCTTCCCACTCTTGGGTCCCAGCTTCCAACCCTTAAGATTTAGCCGTGATTAGGCGTTGGCACATGTTCTAAGCCATTGGTTTTCCCCTCTCCTCCTTTCTCCAGCTTGGCTAAACTAATTAATTGTTTGAGGGGATGAGAGGATTTAGTTCTTTTTATAAGATCCTGCTAGGTTCCTAACTTAAGGGGCTGTTTTGATTTGCGTATTAAAATTTACTTCACTCTTTCAGAAGCCAAGAATATTAAAAAGGTTAATATTAAATAAAAATACAAGTGACTAGTCCTTAAGTTTGAGTCTACCTTGTTAAAAATTTTCCTTTTCTCCACTATTTGAATTTTTTCCCCTCCTAATTGATATTTGGTTCTTCTAAGCTGATTTTATGTCACGTATCATAAGATAAGCAAGACTGCATTAGATTTATAAAACAAAAATTTCACTTCTAAAAAAAAAATTCACTTCTGCATGATATGAGTTTTCTCATATTTAAAATAAAGTAGATGCTGCCTGAAAGTTGTTTTTCATATTTGAAGGCAATTTCTAAGCTGAGTTTATATCATTTCAGTTTAGTGATAGGCTTACTGTCATTGAGTCAGAATCAACACATAGCTGACCCTTCACTGGGTTTTTTGTAAATCACATGGGAGGAGACTGCTCATCTTTCTCCCACAGAGCTGCTGGTGAATTCAAACCACCAGAGCGGTACCACTGTTGGGTCAGCAGTGCAGCTGTCTACAGACCATGCTGATACAGTTTAGTAGATTATGGAAAATAAACCAGGCAGTGGGTTCTGTTCTATACATTGTGCCCAAGCAAGGTACTCCTCTCCATTTTTGTTCTTTAAGATTCTTGTTGAAACATTTGAATATTTTTTTTTCTTGCTTATTAGGTTTTTCATGCTATTTTGGTAGTATTCTTAGTTTGCGCTAACTTACCAGACCTGTGTCACTGTTACCTCCCCTTTGTTGTCATAAACTGGTGTTATCTCCCAGAACC